CATCACAATCCATACAGGCGTTATGAAGTTATGCTGACTACAAATGTGCGGAAACACACACACACGCACACACACAGACGCGCCAAAAACAATACCTCCATTTTTCATGGAGGTAATAACACAGGTTTTTGGTTTAAAACACACAGTAGCACCTTTGGCCTGGATATGGTCATGTAGGCTTTTCCCGAGGGAGGCTGCCTCCACCCCGCACATCTGTTTTCCCTGCCACCCTGCACATCTGTTTTCCCGGAAGTTCTGCTGCAGTACCAAGGTCAGCCACCAGGAGGCCCATATTTGACCTTGACCTTTGGCTTCCTAAGACCTACCAGCATACCAAATATCATCACGATCCATAAAGGCGTTCTGAAGTTATGCTGACTACAATGTGCGGAAACACACACACTCACACACACACACACACACACACACACACACACACACACACAGACGCGACCAAAAACAACTACCTCCTATTTTTCATGGAGGTAACAATACCTACATTTTATGTAGGTATACCTACATTTCCATGTAGGTAATTGACTAGAGTTCCACGATCACATGCATTCGCCAAATTGCAAATGTTTCTCATCGATTGTGCAAATAAGACACTCATTTGCATGAATCATATCCCCCGATGACAGTCTTATCTTACCTAGCAAAGAAAGCTATTCTAGGATTTTCTAATGAATCGAGCAAAAATAAGTTATGTTTCATGGTGTTCACTTTCACTTCCAAATGCGGCAGGTATGTATATATAAACTCACTGCCTTCAATATCTACAGAGTGGTCATCTTCAACCGCATGGACTGTTGTTCGGAACGACTCAACCCCTTCAACATCCACATCGGGGATTCCGACCAGGTCAGTGAGAACCCCAAGTGTGGTGGTGATCATCACATCGGCATGGGCCGGCCGTCCATTACCGTCTCGTGTCAGGGGATGAAGGGGCGGTATGTGGGCGTTCGTCTTCCCGGACCCAACCGAATACTGAGCCTGTGCGAAGTCCTGGTCATTTCAGATACCACATATGCATTTCACAACTGCTTTAAAGTTTGCAACTTTATCAACTGCTTGAGAGGTAGATGCATGCACTGACCATACCTAGTACCTGACGTACAGGTACGTTACATTGGGCCGTTTGATATTAAATGCCATCAAGAAATAACGTATCTTTATCATAAAAACTAAATCGTTTGTGCCTGTACGAGACCTTTGCATTAGGTATCCGTGCAACATAACCGTGACCAAATCCTACTCCGATATCATGTACATTTATAATAATGTTTTTGGTATACAAATTGTTATCGACATTTATTGAATACACATGTATGTATTAAGTAAAATTTTGAAAAACATTTTGGAAGGCAAATTATGCCAAGAGTATACGATATTCCAGATGTGATTGGGATATTTATGTATCTATTATCTATTTATCAATTTTTTGCAAGTTATTATACTTTTAAAGTCTTGAAACATAGTACAACGTACAGACCGTAGATTTCACATCTAGAACTTTTAGACAGACTTCGGAAGAATCTATGCTGTACAGACGCGCTTGTACTTTATGATCAGTAACCAGAATAGAAACAATATCTGCTATACATAGTTTGCTACCATCTTTCACTTTGTTGGATTAATTGTATGCGCGCATATCTATACCTCCTGACAGCTCACGCTAGAACCAACATAGTTGGTAATTTTAGCATTTTAAATGTATTTGGCAACAATTTCACAATAATTGCAAGTGTTCATCACTTTTCGTGTTATCATGGCAATGGGTTTCTGATAGACGTATTTTCAGTAATTTTCTAAATTCATCATTTCTTTATTTTTTCTGATGCACACATGTTTATATACATCAGTAACGTAATTTGATCTAACTTTAATGATGTAAATTCATGATTGATGCTAACTTAGTCGATCAAGATTGTCAGTCCAACAGGTGGATCCATGCTGGTAGCTTCAACATATATGACGTATTTTCTGACGTACATTTCATTTTAACGATGTTGCTGTAGCCACGGCTAACAAAATGCCTTAGCAGACGCGTACTTTAATATTAAATGAGACACGTTTTCTGTTGTATACGGCTTTGGAGTCAAAGAGAGAAAAAAAACACAAACTAGAGGTCGGAGACCTCATGCCTTTGTTAGAGGGACATTGTTCTAGAGAAATGAACATGTGTATTCTTTACTTTTTTTAATAATCAATTTGGTCTAGAGTACAAAAGAATATCTGTACTCCTTTATTTTATTCTACGCCACAGATTTACAGACGCGCACGGCCACATGTACCCCCCCCCCCCAAGTTATTTGACTTTGGACTCTTACTGGAAAAAAATAACTGTTACAAGAAATTCTGTTTGCTGTATTACGATCAAAGTGTTACGAATCACAAGGAAAGAATCTGAACAGGGCGACTACTGCTGTTTAGCAGAGATTTATTGCTGTTTTTATAACGAATATTCGAATAAAGACTTGTTGTTACATTATGTTCTTTTATTCGGGTTTTCTCTTTGCACTGAATTTTTTTTCTCCACATTTTTGTTTGGTGGAAAAAAATTCAGTGCAAAAGAGAAACCCCGATAAAAAAAAGCCTGAAAACACGCTAAAAATAACCCCGAAACCTCTGCTTGGAGAGTATGTGTGTGCGTGCATGCGTGCATGAGCGAGCGAGCGCGTGTATGTATGTTATGTCATATGTGGTTTAGCACTATAACTAAATAGCTTAAGATTAATTGAGATGAAACTTGGGTGGTGGGTAGGTCTTGATGTGACCTCGAAGTTGTTGATTTTGAGGCTCCCTGGAATCTTGATATGGTATTGCAGCGGAATTTCCTCAGTTCACTTCAACAGCGACATCTAGCGACAGTTGGCAAAATATATTATGGCACATCGGGCTGCAGGGTTTGCCCATTGTTTCACCGTCGCACGGTTGCGATGTTGACACCACAGTTTTCTCAATAGCATTAAGGTGCGCAGGCGTCGAAATGCAAAAAAAAAATCTGATAGAAGGCTCGTTTAAACACTACTTCAGTGCAAAACGACGACGTCATCTTGTCGAGGAACACTGAATATACCCCCTATGCGATGAGTGGTTAGTGCCGCCGTAAGTTTTCGGTCAAAGGTTACTCGGTTGAGCGCCCGCTGACAGTCACAGTGCAGTGCAGGTGAGTGTCAAAAGGTTGTCGTCTTGTCAAAGTCCATTTTCTCCCCCTGTAACGTAAAGGAAGCGGTTTGGGTGTTCTGGTAATGTATGATGGTAAGTTATAACATAGAAATGTGAATGTGTTCTCCCTGCTACCATAATTTTTAACCTGAGAGATACCAAACCGAGGTCATGGAAGAATACTTTTACCTTGAGGACTTGCTTTTACTTTAGATGGCCCTAGGGTTAGGGTAGACTCAGAAATTATCTAGCTAGCAGGCCATGTTATGCCTTTAGACCTTTAACCCACTCAAGTAACTAGCTCAGGTGATTGGAGGAGAGCTTTGAGGATTCTTCGAATGGATCAATTAGTACTGTTGGTTCAAGGACATTATACAAGTCTGTACAAATAATGTCCTTGGTTGGTTCAAGTTCTAGTCAAATATTCTACCCTCTGACCAGGTTTTCACCACGAAAGTACATCTTTAATCGTTTAATGTTAATCTCCAGGCAGATACTGTGGGGCAAGAGGAGTCTATATTGGCCTCCTGTAATCATTGTTTGGTGGCCAGCAGTTACAGGAGGCCAATGGATACAGGCTCCCCTTGCCCCACAAGGGATATCTGGCTGGAGATTACACCTGTGTTGCATGCACCCTTCCCAGGACACCAGTGGGATGGCATTGAGAGGAGTGAAGGTAGTGGAGCTGGCAGGGCTGGCACCGGCACCGTTCTGTGGGCTGATACTGTCCGACTTTGGCGCGAAGGTGACACGTGTGGACAAGGCCAGAACAGCCATGTCTATGGACATGATGGGCAGAGGGAAGAGGTCCGTGGCGCTGAACCTGAAACAGCAGGAGGGTGTGGGTGTGCTCAGGAGGATGTGTCAGAACTCAGATGTCTTGATAGAGCCATTCAGAGCTGGTACTTAATATATATATCATTTTCAGAAATCTGACTTCTAGTACTGAGGCTTTTGACAGAACAGTCACAGCAACAGCAAAGCAGACTTAGCTTCTAGCTGCAAGCATCCTTAAAGTACAGCTAGCTGAAGTAGAGATGCTCATCAGTTTTAGCGTACATTCCTCATATTTGTTGAAAATGAATTTTAGAATACTCTGTAACCTCATTCATATGACCTCTATATACAGATTTGTTTTCCGGGTGTTTATATACAACATTGTATTTCCACATACATTTACTAGTTCAGTAGTTGCACAGGAAGTTAGGTCAAAGTCAAAAGGTCCCAGAAAAGATTATCTCTACAGCTGTGTGTGCATGTCTGTTGCATAATGGGAGCCAGTGAGAAGATGCTTAGAGAGAAAGAGCAAGAAATTCACAATAGTGGATAAGAAAAGAAATTCACAAAAACTTGAGATATGAGATTTCTTGTTATGATTGCAGGTGTGATGGAGAGACTAGGTCTGGGCCCTGACATCCTCATGAAAGACAACCCTGGTCTCATCTATGCACGAATGACGGGCTTTGGCCAGTCTGGTCCCTTCTCTCAGATGGCTGGACATGATATTAACTACATCAGCCTCTCAGGTACATTGGTATAGCCTGGATATCGACCTTATTGGGAGCAAACTAACAATGCTGGCATCCAGGCTCTCGTTGTAGAGCTAGATATAGCATTTAGGTGACTGATCCTATTTTGAAATTGTATTACAAACTACTCTGAATTAATTTTTGTACTGTTGTAGGTAGACTTAATTGTTGTGCCATGATTTCATAGCAAACATGTATATAATTATATAGCTACAGTACAATGTACTAGATTGGGCTGCAAGTACTTTCAATATTGTTAGTGTCTTCCCAGAGTGTAGCTGTAGGATAGAATTGTCAGTAATGATCTAACTTGGCTGTAACCTGGAGCTGTGCATTTTGTTGCAGGCATGTTGTCCCGCCTGGGTAGGAAACATGAGAACCCGATGCCACCATCAAACCTGCTGGGAGACTTTGCAGGGGGAGGTCTGACCTGTGCCCTGGGTATTGTCATGGCCCTGTTTGAGAGGACCATGTCTGGCAAGGGGCAGGTCATCGATGCCAACATGGTGAGGAGACATTAATTGGTCAAGTCTGTTCATATTTTGAACCAAATATACATGTGGTGCATAACAGCTTTGAAATTTTTAGCATTGCAGGTACTGCAAATCATGAAAATGTTTTTTTATGTTTGCACTTTACGAACCACTCACACTGTAACGTATCCAAGCTACATGTAAGACTCTGCCCTGGGAGCCAGACTAGTATCAGTACATCGGTTTTTTGGGGGCCTTTATGGAATTAAGCCAACATAAAGTTTTCTACAGCAAACTAGATTTTTGTTTTCCTTTTTAGGTTGAAGGAGCTAGCTATGTCGGATCCTTTATATGGCACTCAAGGTTCCTGTACAACCATGGACGTGGAGAAAACTTGCTGGACACTGGGGCACACTTCTATGAGACTTACAAGACAAAAGACGGGGAATATATGGCTGTAGGTGCCTTGGAGCCACAGTTTTATGCAAAGCTGCTAGAAGGTACTGTACTTAAAATTACTATGTTTGCATGTAATTTTAAGCAGGAATTAGACCTCACATAGCAACTAAAGAATATGGCCTTATACTGCAACCCAATAGCCTTATTCTATTATATATATGTATGCTCTATTAAACTTCATGTAGTTGAATGAAGTTTGAATAAAAATTAATATTTAGTACTTCATCATCTTCTCTTATTCTTTCAAAATCTAGTCCTCTTCTTTTTGCAAACACATCTTTTTTTGAGCTATCCAGAAAATGTTACTAGTAGTAGTACCCGTACCAAGTTTTGTGGCTTTTGATAGGCATTACACCTTTCTCTTGGCAGGTCTGGGACTGACCATTGAAGACCTCCCACCTCAAATGGACCGTGAGAGTTGGCCATCCATGAAGGAGAAGTTTGCAACAATTTTCTCAAGCAAGACACGGGCCGAATGGTGCGAGCTGTTTGATGGGACAGATGCCTGTGTCACACCCATTCTGTCTATGCAGGAAGCTCCAAATCATCCTCACAACAAGTCACGTGACTCCTACTTGACCAATGAGGATGGAGGAGTACAGCCACGCCCTGCACCTTTGTTGTCGAGGACACCAGGTGTAGGTGGGGTGGGACCTCAGCCTAAGATTGGCCAGCATACCAAGGAGGTGATGGTGGAGACTGGCTTCAGTGAAGAGGAAATTCAGAAGCTTGCTGAATCTGGTGCAGTTGACCTTGGGGGAATCAAATCAGCCCTGTGAAGACCAAGGCCTGCTCCACACAGGAGTTTGACACTCCTTTGGTGTAGAGTATAATGTACTAGTAAATATAACTTGCCAGTATTATAAGACAACGGAATTATATGGCTATTTTTAAGTTGATACAGTCAGACTGTATGTTGACTCCTCTTTGATTTTGTCTGTTACTATTGTGTTAGGAAATCTTTGGAGAAAGAAATAAGGAAAATCATTACTACACAATCAGCTGGTGAAAAAATAGTTTTAATGTGTCAAACTTGACTACATTGTGGCATCATGAGTAAAGGAATGATAACAGGAAAAGATAAAGTATAATTGTTACAGTAAGAATGTAAGAGCCTACTAGTATAAGGTGTACATATTTTTACTACTAGTAGTTTGCTGTTTGATTGGATTGTTGATTGATCTGTTATGACCACTGGTAGAAACTTAACTTTGGATACTTAGGCCTTGATTGTTACATATAGAATAGATTACTAGTATTAGATTTTGAGAAGAAATATTAACCAATATTCTTGAACCTTCATACCTCATCTTCATTTTTTAATAAATAGTAACCACAAACCTTGTATTTTTATTTCCAACTGTAGCTTACATCCATGTAAATCCTACCACAACTGGAGGCGTACCTCAGCAGTGCCCTGTGCTCTGAATGCTATTAAATTTCGGTGAACTATAACATACATGTATCTTTAAACTTTTAAGTCACCTTTAGTATCAGGTGAGGCCTTGTTTGGATCCTAATATATTTATTTATTTACCTTTATCGTAAAATAAATAGGAAATAATTATAATTTTGCCACGACTGCACATACACTCCAATAATGTTGCATCATTGTAAGAGTGAATGACTACCGGTACAATGATTTAAAGTAGGAAAGGTCTGTCTTCAGACAGTCTTAGTCAATTTAGGAGAAGAGCCTTTCTGCAAGTACATGTATGTTCACGGGGTCTTCAGAACTTTGAAACTTTAAGAGGAATAGAACCTGACCCAAAGTGAGTAATATTGAAGTTAGAAAGGTCTTTAAAAGTCATCTCTGTACAACAGTGCTTTCCATGAAGTATGTTCACTTTAGAGTCTTCTCAAATTTGAAGTATTAACAGAAACAAGACATGACCCAGAATTTCCTGAAGTAAGCCAGTATTTAGGTTTGCCTCATAATACTAAGTCATTCTTATCAATAACTTTCCATCTGAGCAAGCAACAGCTCCATATCATCCTCTTCACCAGTCCCTCCATCCTGTACACTGACTGGAACCATGTGTGCTTCCCCCTAAACAGGAATAAGTCAATCAAGTTCATAGTATGATATTTCTTGTGAAAAAGACAAACTTTTGTTTATAATAAACTAGAAATTGTTTACTGGAGTACCACATCACTTTCTGTAAATACAAGAGTAAAAGCCTTGGTGGATCTGACACCATAGCCCTTCAACTCTTGTCATTATGATAATGTTTATGGTCTCTATTCTGAAAAAATTAGGCATCTCCTTTTTTCCATCTTGTTTTCTTTGTACTCTTGCACTATATTTAAAGTCATCTACTAGGTTCTCCATCTACAGTCATTAGGAACAACAAACTTGTGAAAGAAAGCAAAATCAGGGCAAAGTGTTAATCAGTTCATGAACCCACCTCAGTACTGTTCGGTATCCCATCAGGCACAGTGTTGTTGATTTCCACGGCAACCTTCTTGTTGTCCATGACGATGAGAATGACCTTCTGAAAGGCATTCTGAAGAGCACGGTTGACTGCAGTTTTCATAGCAGCTCCAATGAGGGAAACTACATAGGTGCATGTTTGGAAAAAATTGTGTCACATACAGAACAGTGTCTCTAATATATATACATGTATCTGGTATTCTGCTGAAGAGAGGAAAAAACTTTTTTCATGAGATCTATGATACTAGCCTTGCACAGTCTGAAGTAGACCTCTCCTTCAGACAGCTGGCTGGAGATCTTGAGCTTTGTGTATACATGGTATACATGTGTGTTTAACTGCCAAGGGATAAACCAGTAATGAGAGAAAAAAATCAAATGATGTTAGTAATGCAATATTTCTGTCAGTGGAACCTGGTCACTTTTTCCTTACTGCAAACAACTGTGGGTATTCATCTTCTATTTATTGTTATGGACATTGATTTGTAGAAGCACTGGTACTGCAATTTGTTATCTAACAGTAAGGTGGCACTGATGAAAATTCCTGTACCAATGATTACCTGACTTCCTGATTAATAACCCAGTGGTATGTTCACTAACCTCTCTCCTCTGGTCTTGTTGGGTCTATAGTCTTCTCCCCTAACCCAACCCCTCCACAGGAGAGGTCCCAACCTCTGATCTCTATCTTCATAACACAGATGTATCTCAGGGAGTTGGGATCGTGCTGGGGTGATTCTGGGTCTTGGCCAAAGGATACAACATGTGAAGACCAGCCATCAAAACCCAGGAAGTGGTTGGCAAGGTCCAAACATTTAGAGAAGGGGAGGGGAGAAGGTTCTCTCTTCTTCATCTTGGTAGCATGCTGGACCTGAAAATATATATTTTTTTAATTAAGAAATTTAGAGGTGGAACAATATTGAGGTATGAAGTTAGCAGTATATTTGATACCATAAATGTCACGTACAGGGTAATGTTTTATTGTCACTTGTTAACACCATAATAAATGTGTACTTCAATCGTACCAAGATAGGCTGTCTCCCGATCAAGTACTTTCCGTTCAGGCCAGCTCTTGCTTTGGCTGCATCTCTAGCTAAGTAGAACTTGACAAAGGCATAGTAGTATGACCTTTCCTCCTGCTGCCCCTCAGTCGCTGTCTGAAGCCGCACAGATGGCTTCACCTATGATGATGCAAATTTGCATGTGAGGCAACCTTCATTAGGGTGTCTTCTGATAAAACGACATCTCTTACTAGTACTTATGTTAGTGTGACAGTATATGGAATAGATTGGATGGAGTTACCATCCATAGTTAAACATAGCATTGAAATTATTTGTATAAAAGACATTAATAATTACAGGTTCTTGAAATTGACCGACAAGATGACCACATTAAATAGATTATTGCCTTACCACATGAACATCATTGATCAGTCCATATGGCTCAAAAGCCTTGCACAGTCTGAAGTAGACTTCTCCTTCAGACAGCTGGCTGGAGATCTTGCTTACATACAGGATCTTATCACTGGTGTAGGGACGTACAAACTCGACAAGTTCCAGGGAGGGAACATGTTGCTGCTTTTCTGGACCCATTCTTTGGCATTCTTCTAGTTCTAGCATGGGATGAAATTCGAAATTTCACATTCAATAAATATTCTTTGATTCACAAATGAATTTGTAACATTATTATTCGTGCCATTTGAAACATATCTGGAGAGCATCTTGGCAAATTCCAGGACAACATAACCAATCTTCCTGTGTAATACTACGTGCCATCATCAATGTTTCTATTATCACTTAGTTTATGCTCTTTTCTTGACAGCTAAGACAGTTAAACAAATGTATTAAATATTGCTTCACTCACCCCATCCGAACCGACCCGCCACTTCTGCGGAATGTTACATTTAAGTATTGTAGGTGACATTTTGACGGTAATGTTTTCGGAAACCAGCAAACATATGACAACATGTTGAATTTTTGCTAGCTAAAATAAATTATTTATATCAATACTGCTAGCAGACTATTATTATAACTTTCGTGGTATTCTTATTTATGAAGACAGGATTATATATCCTCGATTTCTGAGACCCCCCCTACCGTCAATGGTAACTGCGAAGATGGGGGGGGGGCATGACGGGTATTTTTTTTTCAAGATGGCGGCAGCTGGTGTTGGAAAGGTGAGTTGGTCTCGAAAACGGTACTTTTCTGTGGGATCTTGGATTAAAATTGCTCGCCTTTTAGGAGGGAAATCTAGCTAAAGGTTACATTGATTCGACTGAAGCATTTTAATTGAGCCATGTACGCCACACTGCCGCCAACACGCAAAGCTTCTCTGGTTGTCATGGTGCGACTAGACTGGGATATTTGGTTTACCCCCAGCATCCCGCTCGAAAATTTTGAAAATCATATTTTGATAAAATCTTGGGCAGGTAACGCAACCACTAACGACAGTTTCATTTTCCCGAAAGCCATGAAACGCCGTAATCATCTAGTTGAAGTACCGCCAACAGATGATATATCAATGGAAATGATTATCATAATTTTACATAACACTAACAGTTCCATTTTACCATGATTCCAACATAGGTTCTGAATGGTACAGACAAAGCAGGTAAAGATAAGGATGTCTGGGTGTGGAAAACCAGGACTGAGAAGGCCAGGAAGACAGAGGTGCTGAGAGAGATCGACCAACTGGAGCTGAAGTAAGACTATTCGGAAGGAGTTGGCGCTTCAGATAAATAAAGGAACATTAATAAAACATCGTCAGATGATAGAAAATCTACTAATTTGCAAGCAGAATGGAGTATTTACAACAGACATTCTAGTAATTTCTTTCTTGGAAGTTTGTATATGAGATTATGACTTCTATCTAATATTAAAATTATATAACATAAAGATATTTAAGATATATATTATATATATACATTGTATATGAAATAATATATAGAAAAATAACACAAGCTTAACGTTCAATTTTTTAATGGTTATACTGAAGACTGTACATAGTGTTTCTAACTAGCTAATACATGCATGACGATGTACTGTCTTTCAGAATCAAGAACTTAGAGCGAGAGAAGACCACCCATCTGTACAGTAAACGCTCAGACTTCAGACAGCAGTTTTGTGAGCTGGAAGAGCTGGAGATGAAGGGCAATACAAATAGGAAAACAGAAAGTAAGAAGTCTACATGTATATGTCATATACATTTACATGTCAGGGTAGAAGATACACTCTGGCAGAATTGTCTGTTCTACCAACTTCGCAATCACAGTAATGATTTATTTGTGATGTATATATTGTGAAGTACTCTGGTCACTGAGTTAAGAAACATTGTCATTGCTCTTTGATGCTTGGATCAGTGTGACAGTTAGTATTGACAGTGTAGTTTATGGCAAACTTTATTGCACTGTAAAATGTGCCAACTGAAACTGCATATTTTGTTCTTCAGAGGTAAAACTTAGGCAACAGCTGGACAAAATGAGAGGAATGGTGAAAAAGTTTCACATACAGCTGAAGGATGTCAAGCCCACTCCAGAATGTAAGACTTGGTCTATTTCAGTTTTTTACCTTGTCATATGTTAACAAAGTTTGTATTACTTATACCTCTTAACTGTCTGTTAGTGGCATGTAATTAAAGGAACTACCATGACCAACATCAGTGACTAGGCAGTCACAGTTGGCTGATCATGAATATATAGAAATATCAGTTGATTTTGCTTGAATGTAAAAGACCAAACCCATAGGACACAAACAGGAAAACAAAAATTCATGACATTCTTGTTGTTGTTGACCTGGCGCATAAAAACATTTTGCTTATTTCTACAGTTTTGGAAAAGTTAAAGGTGACAATGGAAGAAATAGAAACCACCATCAGTGCATTTAAGGACCAACGTAGAGTGGAGTAAGTAACAAAGATCTTGTGATTTTAATGACACAGATTCTAAATACACATGTACATGTAACCTCACTGTTTGCCACTTCTATATATGTGAAATATATCTCACTGTTTGGCATCTCCCAGCAGATGAGCTGAACTGAAATTGTGAAAATAAAACCGAATCAACACTTGCAAATGTAGACTATATCTTGTAAGCTTTATAAAATGTCTGTCCCAAAACAAGTCTCTGTTCAAGTCATTTATGCATCAACGTACATGGATGCAATTATATGAGACCTTGACTATTTTTCTATATTAAGCAATACATTGTCGCTGGATTATTCCAGCTATGAGGAGTTACTGAGAGATGAGAGGACGTTGACCCAAGAGGTCACTGCCCTGGAGAAGAAGATTGATGCCTGGGCACAGGGTCCCGCTGGGGTTGCTATGGAAACCAAAGGTGCTAAAGCCAAAAATTTGTCCCTCAAGAACAACGTCATGAAGGATCTCCCACCAGAAGTTGCTGCATTTGAGGTGAGTTTTCCAGTTTTGGGTAAATTTTACAACATAGACGTCTTATACACACTTGGTCAGTGTTATGTGAGTGTATGATATGATGCAGTGCATTCCATTTCTGTGTCCTGGAAAGGATCTAATGTGTATTCATCAGTGTGAATGTCAACAATGTTTCCTTCCTGCACAAATGGTTGATTGGAAATCCTAGCCAGTAGGTTATAGTTATTTTTAGCATGTTGTTTTCTGTTGCAGAGATTCTTGGCTCAAACTGGTGGACATCAAGGTGGATGGGATGACTATGATCACCAGGCATTCCTCAAAACTAGGAGCAAGTTCAGGGTAGATTAACACCATTTGGACATACATGTACATCACTAGGTTGAACTAAACTTTAGTTGGACAACTACATGTACATAGTTTTACTGTACAGCTTGTTTTATGGCATGCTGAAAAGACTTACACAATACAGAAATGTCATGGTGTTTCAAGACTACTACAGACTTGCTTATTTTCGTGGTGACTTAATTTCACAGTTGGAACAGTTCTATAGTAAAATAATACATGTAATACAAAATATAAACCATTCTATGTATATCTGTGGTGCCATGATTTTACATTAACAGGTCACAGCAAAAACTGCAAAAAATAAAACTACTGCAAACTTTTGAGATTTACAGTGTGATACACACAGAGAAGTTAGACTTACTTAAGTATGTATCCAACATGTTGCCTATATGTTTTAGGGTAAGGCTGCATTTCTAGATGAAGCTGTGCATGCCTGCCCTGGGAGGACTATAGGAGATGTAAGACAGCACGAGAGTTGGTACCAGGAGTATACAACTCTCAAGGAAAGAAAGAAGGAAGCCATAGCCAACTGGAGAAAACAGAAAGAGGTTCTTGTCTTCTCCTATTTTTTTCAGTTGGCATGTACAGATAATTTCTTGATGACATTGTGTATAATCTAGATAAAGCATATCAATTACATTTTTCAGCTGATATGGTGAAATTTTCAATTCTATAACTTATCAACCTATTACTAGATGAAGGTCAAAGGGAACATTTCTGTCAACAGTAATGCTGTAATGATTATCTTTTCTCTTGTAGTCAGAAAAAGAGGAGCTTCTGAAACAGGCTGATGAGGACAGTAGCAGTGATGATGAGGAGATGCTGACAGCCAGGAGCAAACAGATGGAGCAGGAGAGAGAAGAGAAGAAGAAACGACTCAATGCCTGGAAGGTAAGAGTAACATGGAAAATGTGGTCCTGTTGCCAATTATGAATTGTGAAGTTTTTGTATGCCTCAACCAACATGCACCATTTCCCATTTGCAGTAGTAAGATGATTTATAACCCTTTCTAGGTCACAGTATCACTACAGTCTCTGGCCTGCTCATCTAAAATGTCTTTGAAGCAGCTGTCACACAGTTGATGACCTTTTGCCATATTTATAGATTGGTAGAAGGTCAACAAATTTCAAAATCAGCAGAGAGCAGCTGCCAGAGATTCTTTTTTCACCTTGAAATCCAGTTAGTGTTACATAATATTATGACATAATATACTTTATGAACACATGTTTACAGGTACAGAAAGAGCTACAACGAGCCCAAGAGGAGGAAAGAAAATTGAAGGAAGAACTTTCTAAAGCTAAGCATCAAGAGAAGGAAAGAGAGAGACAGGTGTGGCATTTTTTGTGTGTTTAGGAACTTCTGCCGTGCCAGAAAAATCTGTTGTTGTATTAAACTGTAGTACTGTAGTATTGACAACATTGCTACCCCCAGTTCCTTGAACATGAGATATATGTCCATGTTGTAGGCTGCTGTGAGAGCCCAGGTGGAGCAGTACAGGAGGCAGAGACAGGAGGAGGAGGAAGTACTGAGAAGGGAGCAGGAGGAGCAATATAGGCAGGACAGAGCCAGGAAACAGATGGCAGTAGCAGAGGAAATGTCTAGGTTTCAGGAAAGGGTGAGATAGTCAAGCTAAGAAGAGATGCCCAGAAATGGTCCATGTGGCCTTGTATTGAGCAAAACGTATTAAAAAAAGTCAACCCCCTGTTGTAAACCTCATAATTATAATTTGTTGATAATAAACAGTACACATGGTTCTGTTCCAATGCCCATGAATGACACATTAAACAGGCTCCATTAAAACAAAATGTAAGGGTGAGGGCAGGGACCAAACAGTTTTTACATGGACAGTTTTTGATCCACATCTTTCTCTCTTTTGCCCTTCTCTTTTCTTTTATGGCTTCCATGCTCATAGGACCAGAAAATGGTAGAGGAGAAACTGGCTAAAGAGAGAGCAAGAGAAGAAGCTGTAAAAGAGAAGAACAAAAGGCTGGAAAAGCTGAAGGGTCAGGTGAGCTCCATCCAGCAGGGTTTGAATTTGCTTTGTAGCTCTTTCTATTGAAGGAGAATTTGTAAACTTGCGTAAGTGCTAATGAAAATATATAATAATTATAAATAATCATTATGGCATGCATAATTAACATAGCTTACTTGTCTGTACAGCTGTAGATATTACCATGGTTTCATTTCAAGAAACTTGGAATTGCTGTCCTAGGTGGAAGTAAAGGTTGAGAGAGACCTCAGCAGACTGTACAAGCCAACTGCACTGTGGAAACAGAGAAACAAGGAGATTGGTGCCACTGGAGGGGGAAGAGTGTTGCACATGACTCACAGGTGAGTAGCACATGAATGGTCACAAAAGTCATGATGGTCACATGATGATCACATGATGCAGGCAAGTAACACACCTGCAGCCAAATCATGATCACATGACAGATATGACAGCTAAAATGTTGCCTAAAACTTAGTGCCTTTAGTGGGAAGAAAGTGTCCAGACTTTTGGTGTGTTGCAAGTCTCCAACAATGCCTGCACCAAAGACTGGCAAGTTGTTAGAATTTGTTTGCCTAACACGCAAGCACTGCGGTGATATTTGCATGCAGGAACATTACCATCTGTTTTGACTAATCTTATTACGTGCAATTTTTTCTCAGCTGTTTGGAAGTAATTTACACACCATCAGAAGTACGTCTACAGGATTGAGCAGTTTTACTTTAAGAATAGCAATATGTGATAACAGAGGGTGACCCTACAGTTACACAGTCACCCATTATACTGAGACGTCTTGAAGCTTATCTGCAAGGAGCATATGTTGACCTTTTCAGCAGACGTTATTCACATTTTTGGGGGTATATTTAAGGGTAGAATTTGAGGAACAGAGATAGAGAGAGAACTCATATTTGCTAGTTACATGAATACAGGTACAGGCATGTCTTTCTGCATTGAGCATTTTTATGTTTATCCACACTTGTACTGTAGCAAATTGCTAGTACACTGTTTATAAACACTCTGATTGATAGTTCTTGGTATTCCAAGTTACATGTACTAGTAGGAGGTAGAGGCAATGCCAATAATTATATATGAAGACCAACCCACATACATGTAGCAGGGACATCAGGTCATTGACCCCTAGGACATATAAGCTGTAGCTGTCGTCTTTTTAGGCTTAATGACAATCCTAAAAGGCAAAATGGGAAGAGGTGCATGTCAAAGTGTGTGTGAAATCCTGGCAAAAACATACGGGTAGTTGGGGAAGAGATAGAATAGCATAATAACAAAATAGAGGCAAGGGAAAGTTCTGAGTATCTTCTGTTTATAGGTTTCCTTCAGTCCATTCCAAATTCATTGTGATCTTATATTTTTATGATCACCACCAACAAATGATCTTCTAAATGTCACAAGAAAGAGAAAAGATGGGAAGATGCAAAGGGTCATGATTAATGAACTTAACAGTAATCTGTGTCTCCCTAAAGTAGACATGCAAATATCTGGTAGCCATGCCCCCTGGTGGCACTTGACCTCATTGCAATGAAATATGCTAAAAACACGGAGCCAGAGTTCTGACACTTGGCTGAATATCGCATTGCTTCCATAGCTGCCACATATTCCCCTGTCTGGCACAACAAATAGACAGCCTTGTGCATGAAGGTCTGGTGCAACATGCAGACCATGTACAAATATGTATAAGATGTGTGATTCATTCTAGATTCCTACACAGGTGGTCTGTTGTTGTTTTGTATTTTGGTACTTGTATGTGCCATTCTGACATCAGTACAGGTTATGTCAAAAACAGTCAAATGCTGGAAATAATAAACATGCACCATATAATAGATATGTTTTTCCAGCACATTTGGAAGAAAACACATTCTTTTCTTAAAAGTTGGTCAATTGTTTACAATGTCTTGATATTCTTTTACAGCCAAGTTAGGCCACACCGACTTAATTTTATGGATGACATCCTCTGAAGATCACCAAACTAGTGCGCGCGGGCGAATAAATAAAAATTCCGACCCAAAATAAAAATGCTACTAAACCACAGGGATACAAAGCTGGTATTGCGCAGTACATAGCGACGTATACGACAAGCCAACACATGCTGGCTTTTTGCGGAATTTATTAATCGGCACAGGTTCTTGCCGTTGTTCGGTAGCCAGGGTGCCATCTGATCCAGAGTTACAACCGGCTCCGTATTGTCACTAACTACCATGGACTAGAGTCCTAGTGTAGAGGCCTAGAGCGTGATCTTTTTTTTTTTTTCTTTTTTTTTTTTTTGAGAACAGGCGAAAATCAATGCGCGCGCGGATGTCATCCATAAAATTAAGTCGGAGTGGCCTTACTGATAATTTCATATCACAGTTCCAAACATGACGTAGAACAAAAGCCTAAGATTCAAGCACCTAAGCCAAGGGAAGGCAGAGGAGTGAACAAAAAATTACAACAGGCACGAGGTTATTGGTTTGACCAGCAGGGTCATAGGTCAGCACATTAGTTGTAACTGTGGTGTTGATGCACCTGCTCCTGCTGGGGGAGGGTTTCAAAGGCAACAGGCACGGTGGAGGGCCAATTGACACATTCAGGACATAAACGTGTCTTTAAAGGGTTATATTCTGGGCACAGCCTGTAACAACTGTACTCCACAAAAATGTTTTCCAATGCTTTACATTTTCACTCAGCCTAAATAAGTCTTGCAGGGTCTCTTGGCTGCATGTTTTCCTAAACATTACCTGTGTTGATCATTTTGCTTTCTGTCATATAGTCCTTTGCCATTTACGTTTTATGAAGTTTCCTTTGATGTATCAACCATCAAACATCAGCAAAAGGCTACTAACCTCCAAATCAGTAGTACATGGCTGTGTTTGGTACCGCTACAATATCTCAGGGTCATCTATCATACATTATCTGCAGCGTGCTATCGTCAATCTGTTGTGTTTCCACCATGTTGTATATGTGTAAGGTAGTATGTGTAGTCCAGTGGTTAGTGACCTTGCCTCTGGAAGTCTTGCACCAACTGTAAGTTAAAAGTATAATCAAGATTGTCTTTTTTCTACTTGATGTTATAGATACTACAAACAGTGTACTATCACATTTTTGCAGTTTTTAAGTTTGCATTTTTACAGTGACTCTTGACACCACTCTCATTACCACAAACTCATCACACTGCAGAGATTTGTTCTGCCTTACACTGTATCAGTAGCATTGTTTCAGACACAAGCTCAAAGATAGAGCCCCAGAATTTAAGTACATGTACTAGGACTAGAAGTGAATTTACAGAATTTCTTTTCATTACAGAGCTGTCCCCAACTGGAGACAAGGTGTATAACTTCATGCTGCAAGCAAGAACATCACATCATGATCAAGTTACAGTGCTACACACCTGATTAGCAAGATACCATTGGGATAAACATGCATACTCTCCAAGCAGAGGTTTCGGTGTGTGTGTGGGGGGGTGTTTTTTTGTGGCCCTTTCTACAACTCTATGTTTCTCAAGTAGTGTCATCCATGATTTCTTTCATTTCCCACAATCTATAATTGAAAGAAATTGCTACAACTAGTACTAGGGAAACTGACCAAAATCTCTTCTAACAGAGTAAAGCATGCAGACATGCAAGGAAACATTTGCTGCAATACTTAGTCTAGCAGATTATTCCTGTCAATCTTTTACATCCAATTCTTGAGTCAGCTTCATTTAGTTTTAGTTGTTTATGATGACTAAAGGTCTGTAGATAGACAAAATATATGCTGATAACAGCTGTCATAAACATCATTGTAGACAAACATTTGATCTCAGGAAGTTGAACATGTTTGTATGAATATTGTGCAATAAAAATATACATGTACATATATCTGTAAATATTGGGTGAACCATTGTTTTTCATAGAATTAGGCTACAGAGCAATATTGCTAATATACATGCCAATGGAATCTGTATCAGACCAGATTTTTTAGTCACGTTAATCTAAGTAAATGTTTGAGCACATTTTGAGTCCAGCAAGTCTTTTATTATCATGTATGGCTATGGTTGAGGATTATCATATGGTGCAGATTCATTTTGTTTTGTCAACCTAAGATGTGGAAATACATGCCCTGGTGTATGAACATTTTTCATTATGTGATTTTGACAATAATTTGTTAGGATGTTTTGTGAAAACATTTTATTAAAGCTATGAATGACTTGGAAAAAGTACGTTGGTATAGAAAATATGCTTACAGCTATATACAGTTTTTGGATGTTTTGCAACGTGAAATGGAGCTGCTTTGTAAAAACATTTGTAACCACAAACCCCCAGACGTCAAAGTAAAATTGATCGGTGCACTTGTGAAAACATTTGTCTTTCTGTAGAAGGGACATGTCCACAGATAGAGAGCGATTATGTGAGGCTTTGAATGTCAAACCATCCGTAGTTCATACACAAGAGAAGCATAGAGGCAGCGTCGTCTAAAGTGTGTGTGATTTAAGATTGAACTTCCAAGATAAGAATACATCATTTCGGATATAAAGTAGTAGTTTGCATCCCTGGCTTGTGAAAAATACGGGTAATTTGATACATTTCGGTTGATCCGTGCATAACGTGGGAACAATATCTATTACCTTGGAGGATTGATGTACAAATCGTGTTTTGATGACACCACGGGTGAATGGTTCATCTATGTCATTCACGTGATGTATTTCTCCAGAAAACATAGATAGATCATGAACGCATGATTTAAAAGAGATTACACAATATATCTACGAGGAAACATTGCTGCGAGGCGGAGTGGCTGCATGACGAGCATACTTAAGATGATAACGACCTTGCTTAGTATTGTGGATGTTTCTTTTGTTGAATTCTCTTTCTTCCTAAACGTGAATGTGTAATCTTACCAACATTAGCCCAACAGCCATTAAGGTTGAGAAAAACGGACCTAGGCCTATATTAATATTTATCAATGGCTTTGTTAAATGAATGTGCATTTACTTGTACGAAAACGATGTATCCAAACAGCAAAAGTGAATGGGGAATTGTTATCATAATCGAAAATAAAGATACCACAAGTGTCAAAGTGACACAAACGCGGCGGCATCGGTTTGCCGACTAAAGGGCTGGGATAAGATTGGAACTCCGATCCGCTAGTGGGGATTAAAAGTCTCAAGTGTTCTCTCTGTTGCTGTCGTTTGCCGACATTCCTTGTTTTCCAACCTGAAACTAGTCGATCTCAAGCGCGCCTCTGTGGCTCGCTCTGTCGCACTACGATCTGGCAAGTAGACGACAGTCCACAGCACCATCCGGCTATGGTAGTGCGATGTGTGACGACAAATTGTGAGAAACGTGTTCCGATGCAATGACTTGTTGTTGCAGTTCATATCAGGTTCATATGCTGACGCGCCAGTACGTTATTTATTCAGTAGGAGGTGATCGACAGACGCGTAAGTCTCAGAAGAAAGAATGTTGAAAGTTGTCAGATAAAGAATCTAGAAAAACTCCGTGCCATTCATGATTAGATATACATGTAGAACAATATTAATGACTATTTTCAACCGTCGTGCCATAAGAAGATCAACGGTATGTCTTCATCGTTCATACCATGAGCAGTTCAACTATGACACTGGCCAGCCTCTGTCTGCTGCAGTTTTCACTGAGTTTTCGAGGAGAGTGTGTTTCATGCTAGGAACACAGCCAGGGATACTACATCTTCCAATGGTTTTCTAGTTCTGAGGCTCCAACTACTATTAATGGTGATCAGAGAGAACACAAATCTGTTACATGGAGTCACTCTAGGAGTTCAATGATGATGGCGCACAACATGGCCACTTTCGGCCGGCTAGCCCCTCCCTGCTGTTTTCTTCTCAGCCTTTCGCTCATCTATATTTGCCGAATCTGAATATAGAGAGACGGACGTCAAGTCTGGCACCGTGTGTTATTGTTAACCGTGTAGCACGGGGATGTTAAAACGCGACAAATATGATTGATGACCTTCATAGATTCCGATAGTGCCCATGGCGCGAATGTAGGCCACAGTGGGGCACCCATTTTAGAGCATCTACGTCAGAGACCTTCAAAAACAGAAGACGCTTCACTCGTGTGCCACGAATTGAAGACACCACTCTTGTGGACGTGGCGGCTTGTGATTGGACAGAGTCGCGGAAAGGATGCGCTTGATCCTTGCCCGCCGGTTGCCCTTGGTTACTGAAGGAATCGACTGATCAAGGTTCATGCGAAAGGCTACGGTGTGATCCGGTATCGCTTACGGTGGTAATCCTCGGTGTGTGGTAGGTAGAGTCCGGACGCGCTAAGCCAAAGGCTCACTCTAATTGGTCTCCACTGGAAAAGGTACCCAAGTCTTGCTAGCTGAACACCCAGCTGCAGCCAAACCAGAAATTCCAAGGTCTGACTTGGACAGCTGTGTCCTGTGGCTTTAACGGTTTACTATAAATTGACACCGAATAACCTGTGGGACGGCAGGGCCTGTGTTCGCTGGGAAGCTGCCGATCGGCGGAGCGTTTTAGTGTTGCAGCAAATTCTTCTAGCCATTCCGTGCCACCAGGGGTACTTTTAGCAACGGACTAATCACCAGGCGTGCCTGAGGGTCGGCTGTAAGCCGCGGCGGCTTCGACTTGAGAAACACCGGGGAACACCTCCCAGCCGGAGACCAAGGCTTTCAGTGTGCAGCAGCTAAAGGATTCTGCGTTTGTTTTGCGTCCTGATATTTGGCCGATTGAACGAGCGTACTGTAAGTGTAACAGAAAGCTGTAAGGAATGCGTTAACCGCTGCCGGATTGAAGAAAGCTGTCAGAGCAACCGACAAGGCTGCTGCATCGTGACGGAAGGCTTCTGAGATCTCCAACACTTTCCCGGGAAAACATTCTTCAGACTTGTGGTCCCTCAGTACTCGTAAGACCGCAACGATGCCCGGAATAACGTGGTACCAGTGGATCCGGCCGTCCGACATCCACTTCACGGCCGATATGGTCCCCTGCAAGTTCAGCAACGGCTCGGACATGCTGGAGACCTTCAGGCAGCTTCTCTTCAACGAGATTAAGATTTCGGACATACCCAAGATTGAGGTAACAACACGTTTTGTTCATTCATGATGATCAGACAGTTTGTGCTATTTCAGCAACCTCGCGTATGATTGATATTCTAGTCATGTATCATCGGTCAACAACATGGAGCATAAGTAATTTTTATGACACCTGATTAGTAACGTAAAGACAACATCGCTCGCATTGGTAGACGAATCTTTGATCGATGCGTGGAACTTCTTAGACTAGTTCTTTGGGTATATTTAGAGGTTCGAATTTAGAACGAGCCATATAACAAACTTTCTCCTTAAAACAATTTCTGCTTTGTTTTGTGAAAGTGACACGCATATAATTTAGAGTTGTTGAAAGGACCCCCTCGTCTATTGTGGTCTTAGGCAAATTAAAAGAAAAATATCAACCTGGCCCTCTCCTACATTTATACACATGGTCTAACGATGTGACTCATCAACATACGTATCAGGTCCTACATATATACATGTATGCCTATGTCACAGAGGGGCGATGTATATCTTATACATTTTGTATATCTTATACATTTTCTTTACCTTCTTTTCAACGGACTATTTATTTTTGTCCTCATGACCATAGTCTATTATTTTGTTTCCTCGTTCATATTTATCCTACCTGGAAACAATATATAGTATCATGTATGTTATTAAAATCTGTATGATATAACGTGTTATAATAATAAGAGTTGGCTCATACTTTTTGCACTGTAGGAGGGTCTTCGTGAAGATGTGTTACCAGGACAAAAAGGATGTCGACAAACAAGGTGACACATAACTGACGGTGTTTTCTATCCCGTAGGTTATCTACAAAGACGGCTCGTGGTGGGCGTATTTCGGGAACAGGCGGCTGTGGATTCTGCGGGAGGTGGAGCGGCTGGGACGGTGTGCCGCCGTCGAGTGCATAGTCCTCCCAAAGGACTTCTGTAGCGACGAGAAATGGCTGAAAAAACTGAAGAACCGAGACGAGGGAAATTCTGTTGGCGTTGAGAAAACGGAGAGGTTCGACATCGAGTATCAAACCATCATTGAGGCATGGCGGAAAAAGACTATCTATGGCATGGACGCGCCGACTCAGCTGGAAGTCATGATGGGGAAAGAGGGTAAGTACTGCCGTGTGTCAGAGAAGGTGGCACAGTGGTTCCCAGACCCTGGTCCTACCTACCGTCTTTTGTATTCTTCATCAATATGGTCTATCGTCGGATATTCAAGTAATTCGGTTGAACATACTTTTATAACACCGGGCAACAGGGGCAGTGCAACTATGGTGACAGGTTTAGAAAAAAGCCCCCCCCCCCCAAATACATTGAACGGTTACTCGGTAACGCCTGAAATGTAAAGCCAGATAAAGACCATTTCTAGTAGGTGGTCAGATGAGGACATGGAGGCAGCTAATTTGGTATCAAGGTTCTGGTAAACAAGAACACGACCCTCAAACGTAGCACACGACAGAAGAATATTTTGGTCCAGGCCTGATGCTGAAGGTACACACGGTTCACTCCGGACTGACACGCGAGTTACATGTAGTTAAAGAACCCGAGTCTGGAGACATTTCTGTGTCCGCTGTATCACAGATCCCATTACAAGCAGCTCTATCTTGGTCTCTAAGATTAATGGATGGATACAAAAACAGAAACTCGTATTTCAAAGCCATGCTTTAACCAATTAGTAGACAGATAAATCGACCTTAATCATCCTGATGGTAGTAAGACTTCAGGGAAACATGTCCATACGAATGAATGGTCTCCTGAGTGGGCTGTGACATGTACGGACGTGTAGACAGAATGGTGAATCTCAAAGTTAATGTAAAGTTAGAATATATAACTATAGTGATTTGAAGAAACGCTTCTATCGACTTGATCATTTTAGCGGGTAATGTAGGTTTACCTCCCTGTAATATTAGAGATTAGTAGTTTTATCTTAATATACTGTATTTTCATACATTGCTGCGGAGAGTCAGTTCACTTTGCGTTTGTCGTGACTTGTTTTTGGTGACAAAGTCACCATCATAGACAGATACTAGTAAGTGAATCTGTTCATCTCAAGAAGCATTATCAAACATTCCCATATTTGTTTATCTCTACCTGGGACGATCGGAAGTTCTGCAAGCAAAAATACTATATTGTTAGCAAGCACGATAAGATATGTACTCATACATCGACGTTGATCTGATATCATTTGGACCCTTAGCCACGCAGTGATTGCGTGTATAGCAGTAGTGAGCAATATAACAGCGTAAGCAAACGTGCTGTTTTCATGTCTGTCTAAATAGGCCAGTTGAAGGGGTCAATGTACTGGAGATGTCAGCGAATAGCTCGCATATCCAGCCAGCGTTGATGGATCTCTGGGCATGTTCCAGCATCACATGGAAAACTGTGGAAACGTACTCGGGTTTCACACCCCGTCTGCATTAAAGCGGTTTTAGTTTTGGCTGATGCAAAACTGTCTTTCCCCTGCCCCAGCCTCACCCCGCACGTTTGGACTGCACGGCTGTTGAAGGGTGGGCCTGACGTCCCGCGGATTGTCTTGGCATCATGCCGAACAAGTCACCACGGAAGTTCGAGGTCCTCCATTTTGGTCGTATATTCTGAAGAATAGATAGACCACAAATCAAGACAAAAGTCAGTCTCAGCCCTTCAACTTTGTGGTTCACCGACAAAACAACTAGTTGACGTCAATATTTTTAGGTAATATCAATAAACAAGTCGGATTTGGTTGTAATAAAATACGCCATTAGTTGATGGCACAGCGTTTCTCATAGGAAGATCTGTCCCTGCATCCAGTCTTTCTTCGTGATTATGACAATGACAAAAAATCGTTTGCAAAATCCCATTCTCTTATTTTCACTTCATTCTATCGATCTCGTACGGTATAAATAAGACTGTCGACTCAAGCTTTCCAACTGATACTGTAAAAATGTGAACTCTACATTCCGAAGATTATCGCTGGCGGGAACCTAGTTGCTGATCGTTACATATCTGTAGCGCAGAGATCACTGGCGCCATCGCTCTTCTCTGCTTATATCATCACTTCGTCCTGCGGGCAGGTTTGTGTTCTGATATACTCGGATAAAAGTTAACAAAACTCCACTGTTCCTACCTCACACGGGGTTTGACTTAACTCGACTAGACTCTCTACTCTCAATACTCTTACAAAAAATGAAGAACGTAAAGCTCTCATTTCTTGGGGATCAGAAAAACATCTTGCATCTCTGTGGGGATCAGAGAAACATGACAGGATAAGAAAACCCCTGACGACGAGGAAACAATTACGTTGTCTGTGTCCGTATGTGAGGGAATTACATCTAACATTAAGGGTGACCTGCGTACATGTGATCAGACATGTATATAATCAGTGCGACTTCTTTACTTGACCCAGATATCACAGTGTGGCCCTCGGCACGGTTGCACCTGTCACTCTTTGTACCAGTGAATACCAAAAGAGACCTGAAAAACGATCTAACTGCCCTGGCCTAGTTATAATGTTGACTACAGTAATATTCCAGTAATAACTTTGATCGTCATGTTATCTGGTCATCGCTGACATGGCTGACCTATTTACAGGATTTCATCTGGCTGGATCTGGTTTTAGTCCCAGAACCAGCCTGTCTGCGTCCCCGGTACTGTGATACCGGGACCCCGTCACCCGCGCGACCCCGCACCCGACCTGTACATGCGTCACACCGGCTCATATGGCGGGTCCTACGTCACAGGGTCGGTCAGTAGATGGTCAGGATTACCCTGCCTCCCTTTTCCCTCACATCAAAAGACCTTACATAATCCTTCACTCCTACGGTTACACCTCCCCGGATCAGCCAGCCCTGATATCAAACCTAAACTTGACAGTTACCCACAAGATAACGATCTAAACTGACATTGATGAGATAGAAAGGATCGTATTTTGTCGCGTGTTGGACTGTAAGGACCAGCCGGATCCTGGGGGATGATCTGCTATTGACCCTTCTGTGCAGGCCACACTCATGGTGTGGTGTGTATTATGGTATGCGAGTCTGTTGGCCCATAGTAAATTAGATTCCCAATGTAATTCGTGTACTTTACACTGGAAACTTTGAACTTGGAATGACACCGGGACGTTCGAAAGTCTAATCAAGTTTAAAGCCAAACACATGTACATCTTTACTAAAGGTATGACCGTCACACATCTACTTTTGTTTCCCGACTAATGGAAAACACGCCTTTACTTTTCAAGAAGCAACGTGTTGAAATACCATACCTAACGTTTATGAGCCTTTCTAAACCCCATGTGTCTTTCAGATTCAAAGTCATAGTTTGATTAGAAATTGAATTGACCATGTCGTTTCTTCTGGCTTTCCAGCGGGCAGCCCGACCCCCCGGAGCCCACGTGACAAGGCGTTCACGTTCCCCAACGGTACCGGCACAAGCGGCTCCGCCACAAAGTCAGCCACCAAGACTGTGGGGCAGTTCTTCAAGGACCTCGTGCTATGCAGCGTCATCGTGTCTACTAGTGCAATCGGAGCCCTCACCATGGTCAGTTATTTCATGGGGAACAGTCTTGTTGCAACGACGATGAAGAGCATTCTCGCTGAGTTGGACTTCCCCTTTGACTGGGCTGAAGAAGAGTGAGTTCTTCCCCCCGAGAAGGTTGGGATAAATGACAACCTCCGTAGGTGTGTTTTAACGGTGCCGTCGCGGGCACAGGGCAGGATGGACCGTAGTTTGGAACAAACAGACAGTCGGTACTTGGGAAGAAAGACTGGCCACTTGGCTGAGAACTACGGACACAGGACCACGGTTTGAGCACCACCTGATGTACCACGCAGCGCTACGCACAGTATGGCACAGGAAAACAGCTACTAGTGCTCAGGACGACAGTCTCGACAATATAGTCCTGCTATTGTCCAACAAGTGCCGAACAACATAATAAACTGAGACTGATGTAGGACCGTTCTTTCGAGCACTTCACCCTGTGAGAGCATAGTAGGTCCTGATGAATTCTTTCCCCTGTTTTGTTTGCTACAAGCCCCTTTAGTCAAGAGGAACTTGACTATCCGCCTGCATAGAATGGAACTGATTGAGCCTGAAGGCAAGGAAGGAAATGGTTATCCGATATCAAACACAAACAAACTACAACAAACATCAGCTAAGAGGCTTGTTCACTAGCGGAATTATATCCCATACGATGTGCAAAGTCAGGACATGTACATATAGTCTTCATTTTTATTCTTAGTATCGTTCAGAAATGAAGTGAGATGTGCAAGGTCACACCTGTACAATGTGTTTCGTCACATTGCATTAGCATCACCATCCATCAACATCTCTTATCATAGATAAGGTTAGGTTACAAGATAATACCAGTGATAAACTAACCTTCAACTGGTTTGGGTGAAATGGGTTTTCTTAATTCATGATCATGTCATTGTTCAAATAATAGACAAACCATTACTAAATCGAATGCGTCAAATGCCACGTTACAACTCCTTTCCACTAGAGGCTACCACTGACCAGCGGCTGACAGCGACCAATTTGGTACATAAATCAACGAATTTCAAGATTTGATTTTTAAGTCATACTTTTGTGTCGTGCATTATATTCCAACAAGAAAATCAATGGTCACACATAACCAATTCTAGGCGCTAAACGGTCGCTCAGCGATCGCCGTCTACTGGAAGCCGCTCTGACTGGAAACTTATATAAACACATTTTATTGTTGTTACTCTCTTTATGTAGTTTGCCATACATTGTACCATGTGCAATTGTCGTGCAATAAAGTTCTATATAAAAGGGGAAATTGTTCTGTCGGCAGTGCAACAGAGTTATATTTGCCACTGCCGGGTCGTGAGGCTACTCTGACCATCAGTAGGCGTGAGAGGCAGCGGCAATAGTTGGGATATTTGACCGAGCAAGAGGGATTACGATGGCCTAATATAGCCGTGACACAGATAAAGCTAGCAATTAGCGGTGCCCAGGAGAACTGCATCGAACAAGACTGGGATACATGGTGACGATATCTTCGCCGGTCTAGTTGTACGTCCCTTTCCAGATTCACACGAACCAAACTGTACTTCGCACGACTGTTAAATATATTACTTTAACCGACTCGACTTTTCTCGAGCTGCAACACGTAAATTCTCGCGAGACCAACTACACATGCATGGGGGACAGTGGGGACGTATGTGGAGTTCATCTTGCACAAACAGAAGAAGTCTCTCCAAGTCGAATAATAATATTACAAATACATTTATCATGGAGAATTGTGCACGTGCATATGAACAAGATGCACATATATGTATACCCCATCATTATACCAAATCAGTCAAGATATGAACAAAATATGAAGAGACAAACTGTTTTGGTCACAATGACAGATATATCGATAGTCGTTACTCCTTTTTGTGCTGTAACGTTAGTACCCCGTAACTATCACACGTAGTAACACTTGTCGGTAGTGTACCATTGTATCATAACATCCTAACACAAACCAAGTAGGTAAATCTCCTTGGACAAACCTGTACATGTCCTTATGATGATATGTTTCCTGTATGTGTTGTCTGGTTATGTAATAACAGATGGAATGGTGTTGATGTGACGAGAAGGGTGGGAATGATAGGAACGAGGAGAGAGCCTGTTGAGGACACGAGTGTACTTATGTCCTACATGCAGGGTACATGAAGTCTTCGTTGGAGCGATTTTGTTCTCGATCAGTCTGCGTATCTGCAGTTATGACAAAACACGCAAGCCAGTGCTGCTGACAAACACCATCGCTCGACTGGACGGATGCTTGAATGTCAGTGGACGAGAAAAGGTGCCGAGTTGACTGATCATGATCATTTGATGTAGAAAAGAAATTCTGAACATGTAAGCACCAGTGGCCAGCACAGTTTTGAACTGTTGTTTCATAAGAGCTATGATGTTTGTGTTGACGAAAAACTGTAACCTCAGATTGTATAAACTTAATCATAGTACATGTGATATCATCACTGCCTACTTATATTCCATCCTTAGAGAACAGCCATAAGTTATACGTATTCAACAATACATTTAGTACATGTATTTGCTAGTACTAGGTCAGGATTGAAAGGACGTCAGTTGGCCTAGTCAACTAGGAGAATGAACGGCCCCGATGTTTATGTAGTATCGGATTCACTAATATCATTGGAATAAAAAAACACAAATGGTCTCAGACGATTGGATTCCTCACTTTGTACTTTTATCACGCACGCGCGCGCGCACACACACACACACACACACACACACACACACACACACACACACACACACACACACACATAGTACCCCAACGACACACTAGCCTCTTGCGATTTATTTCAGAACTGCAAAACAGTCTCTGTAAATCATTGAACATTATCATTATCGTACGCACGATACATGCACAATCAAGCAATGAATCACATGGCCAATCTAAATCCCCAGGCAACCGCGCGCCTGGGCAAAAGATTAATCGTCATTGCCCTGTGACCTTCGACAGGAAGAGCAGGATTCGTGCAGTCTGGTCAGGTGGTTTTTAAAAGCGTCGCCATATTTTTCAGGATTGAAAAGGTGTAAAATAACATCCACAACCACCGCGCCCAGTTTAAATCGTCACAAATTTTGTCCCGCGCATGATCATTCCCCTCGGGGCGTGACGTCTATATAATTTGCATAAAACCAGTTGAGTGAGCTTGTGACGGTGTGGCAAGGCGGCCCCTTCCTCCCGACACTCTGCATAATTGGGCAAGTGTTAACCGTCCCTGGCATTCCAAGACAATTTTTCCAGAAAACCGGCATCTTTTTGCAGACTCTGAGGCAAGGTGAGTTTCGCTGGTTTCCCTTCCCTTGATTTTAACTGGCTCTGACGGCCAGCCGCCGGGTCTGTAGTGGTTTAGTTGTAAAATGCCATGCCTTAATGCCCAGGTAAACCCGCCAGGTATGGCTACAACTTACGGGAGCAGAACGGGTCGAAGGCGTGGGCCAGTGTGGTGGCCGTTTCAGCGGCCGCCATGATAGTAGTACTATAGGAGACCGTCTGGTTTAAATTCTCGGCTTCCCCAGCCCGGGGTTTAACTGGAACATGTGGCGGGAGATTCCGGCACGTCGTCTGCTCCCGGTTTCCTGCCAGGTTTCCTTACATACTTGCGTGAGCAAACACAGTAGCGAGAGTGGTCTTCAAATTATTCATGCCCTGCCCTCCCCCTTAACATTCTTCTGGATCTAACGTATAGACCAGGTAAAGCCACCTGGGCCGGCCGTGGATACATGAGTTACTGTAACATTGTCAATTCCATCAGGAGGACAGATGGAGCAGCAGTACGTTGTATCTGCCGATTTGAATTGTATGACTTTGGATTATGCATAACCAGACGAAGGTTATAGCATCGCTTCCTGTTAAGCACCATACTCAAATATTTCGAGGGGTCGCGTAATTTGGTAGGTATACTATTGGAGAAATTGGAGACACAAACTGTCACGATGTACTGTGTGGGAAACAAACAACACCATCTATGTACACATCCTGCTATGCCAGAAACCACGGGCTTTTCGCCGCCAATAAAAATGTGCATAATAATTGACCTTATGGGCTATGTGCGGAAACGCTCTAGTACAGAGGGAACGGGAATTACAGAAATACCGTTCTTCTGAATCAGACAAATTTTCTAACCTCCTTAATCAGAAGTCTTGTTTGTTGACAAAACGATGGCCCATAGTAAAATCGGCTTCATTTAAAAGCAATTTGCATTTGTGAGTTAAAGAGTCAAGGCCATATCATAGCTTACTGTGTTTATTGTGTAATCCTTTCTTTGTCGGGCATAACTGTTGTGGGTGCGGCCAAAGATAAAGGATGTCCAGTGACGTTCATTTAGGGTCAATGACGTCAAATCAATCATTCCTCACTAACCATATTCTGACCAGGTTGGTAGAAGTTGTTGCTTGCTGAAGGTTTCCTTTTTTCCGCGGCATATTTGACCCGCCCCGTGCCACGCACCGTGCAGTGCCGGTGGGAGGGCGTGGCACGTTGTCTCCCAGTGTCTTCACCGGCCTTTCCTGTTCATCAGTGAAAACACTAATGAGGTCATTTCATATTGCTCATACAATGGACTTGTTCAGACAACGCGATTGTCTCCCATTCCCAAACAAACCGTCCTCTCCGGTACAGATGTGTATGTTCTGTGTTTTGTATGTTTTGTAGACCGGTCAAAGGTCATCCTCACGTGAGAAACAAAGTACACTCTAACAGCAAAGACTAACAATGGAATTGTTTCCGGCTCAATTATATAGCACCTAAAAACTATCCCATCCAACCAACTTTAAGGCATGACCATGCCTTTGCTTATCATGTACGAATAAGACATAGGATTAGCGCTAATAAAAAGTCTGATTATGAACTCAAATATATATATATATGGAGAATTGTTAGCGGTATTTACGTCATCTTACATCACCCCAACAGTCGTCTGAGAAGACGAACAAGGACCTCTTGTCTGTTATATCCGACAAAAAGCCGTCACACAGCGCACTATCATTTTTTTCTTAAAATTGGTTTTTGAAGCCTTTAGATAAACTGTCGATAGTATGCTTTTCTTTGCAAACATCAGAATGAAAACAGAAAAGTAAAGTCTTCCTTAATCGGTTGAAAATGTTCACTACGACTGGCCACGGATCACGGGAAATAATTTCAATACAAAACAGTGACAAGAACCAGGAAAATAAGTGACAGATAAATGGTGTATTTATTGATAATAAGCGAAGGGTCTCTGCCCCTAGACCATGTGTCCTTGATTCAGGTTCTTCGTTAGACTGAGCCGGTAATTATGTGGATCAAATTACGAATTTTTACCTCAGTGAAACGGTTGCCAGGAGACCGACCATGTGCAGTGGAGGATATCCATGCGTGGCAATAATTCTATCACGAGAGGCGGAAATCATACAAAATAGGATTAACTTCAGTTCGACACCCAGACGATAGACAGATAGATGAGCTGAGATATACGTGTCTACAAGACTAGACTAGCTGGACCTAGCTGGACCTAGGTATGAAAGTGACCTGAAAAAGTAGACCAGAGGGGACCGAATATTCCTACCTTATCTATATCATTATTACAATAGAACTGGGGCATGGTGCTGGTGCTTTGGTTAAGTCCCAGTATACATAACCATTAAATGTATTTCCTCCCCCGGGTATTGTAAACCCATGAATAGAACATTATGTACTCTATGGCTGTATCGCTAAATCATGATCTCCTTGATTTCCTTCTCTCTCTTTAGTTTTGTTGGTAACAAAAGCTAACCCTGGTTTTGTAAGGGGTGTTTTCAGTATGTTGCATCAGGTTCTCTAGTTTTAACAGCTAAGCCTCACATTCATTGTAACAATAATGAGGTTTTGCATTCTGGTATCAATATATAGGCAAAGGTAGGTACATACATAGTAATGTGTGCAATGATCCGAAGTCAGTGACCTAGAATTGATAACCAACGATCTCTCCCAGGAGAGATTTTTGGCTAAAAGAATTGCAGACCACAAAAATATACGTCCACAAATGCAATAATCACCATACGTTGTAACCACGTATAGCGAGAGACCTTAGGAAAGTCGTGGTACTTTTGTTGTGTCAATTAAGATTGTTGATTTCAAAGCTTTCGAGTTCTACCGTGAAAAGGTTTTTCGGGTAGCCGTGCTGTCCTGTCCGTGGTACTGAGATTAAGGTTCATTACCGTGCTGACAGAGAAACATGGCTGGAATATAAAATCACACACGCCTGTACGAAACGTCGCGCGTTTTCCTTACGACAAAGGTTTCAGCGTCACGTTTGTGAGGTTAGTACTGATCCTAACTGTTACCTACACTGTATAGTATGCGGTTAAACGGCAACAATGCATTTGTAGAATAATTCTACAGCATTTTTTTCATTGTGTTGCAAAAAGTTATGGCCGACATCGAATTAAGTCCGCGAATGGAAGGTGATGATAGATTTCAAAGGGGAGATAAAGCAAATAGTTTATGAGTTCTATATGACTCCCTTGGATAGATTTAATGATGTGTTTTGCGTTGCTTTGACCAAGAAGCTTTAAACGACGTAATAAAACAACAACAATGTTGTGAGGCGCGATGGTGCATGCTGGGAAGGAGACAAGATGGCGACGTACATCACAAATTGACAAATATTCAGTTTAATGTAATGCAGCTGCAGTTTCGTAAGATCATCGAGGCAAGCTTAAAACAATTCGCAATTTGTGTCGTAGCAGTGGTTATGTGCATTTTTTCTTGTAATAATATTTCCTCATAGTGGTCTACAATGCCAAATTACGTTGTTCTAGATTTAATGGTGTGCTGTTCTTGCCAAAAAAATTCATGCAGAACGCGGGGAGATACAATATCGATTATTTTATGACAGCAAAACGTCCGTCTGGTGGCAGTACGGGCTCGTTCAACTGTATGTATGACATGTGAGGGGGCGGAGTAGTCTTGAAAACCATATTCTGAATGAAAACATAATGAAATCATAATTATCTTCCTGATGATCAAAAATGTATACTCACGCCCAAGAAATGGTGACATGTGTAACCTCACAACAATGCGTTGGTAGTTGTGCTGCATCATAGAACCCCAAAGTACATACTTGTCGATATCTTGCATACAGCATGTTAACGATAATAGATAAATTGCTCTGTAGTGTGTTTTTATCTGATTTAGATTATATCTACGACTCGTGATGTCGTATGTAAGCAATATCGCTGCCCGTAACAGTACTGTAACTGGTATCGCCAGGGAATTTAATTTCTGTGACGACCCTACGTCTGTATATGTATTTCGTCAGCGAGACGCCGATATTCGATCCCAGTCGCATCGTGGTATTGCACATGTACAATTTACCTGCAGAGAAAAGGTCGAGCGAGGTCACAGAAGGGGTGGGCCAACCATAAATTTTACCATTCGTAACAGCACTCGATCAATAGCAACGCCATCAAGCTTCATTTTCTATTGTTACAATATCAACATTTGAAATAGATTCTTTTTCTCATACGAGACCTAGTAATTGCATAAAATAAGTTTTCAAAGTTGTATTAAAGGACAAGTAGCACCTGTCTAAGAACTGTATAAATATTTATCACACTATGTCAACATTACAAACCATGCTGGAGTGGCTTGCTGAATGGTTTGTTACGTCTTATATAAACTATTGATATGTTAGAGGAATGTTATATCAAAAGCGTTTCTTGGTTTTACGCTTACTGGTCTGTTTTATTTTGTTTTGAACTTGTATAAGATCAACTTTTACAAAAGTCACAAAGAATACTGTAGTACCTTTATCCAGCTAACCTTTGAAATAGCTTGTCTGTACTATTTATGATATTTGCGAAATGCTGTGACTTGCTATGCCCTGCGGCCAGCGTACCACGGGATCAAACCACGCGTAACAAACTCCCACACCAAACCACGCCGGGCGCAACGATCATACATACACGTAAAGAAAAATACTGTCCTCCAATTTCTAGTTTTAACGAGTTGCAGCTCGTATTCCGACAGCGTACTGTTTTCTTTATTGCCAGTAATGTCGAGTTTACTAGTACTAGCAGACGAGGGTCGCAGATGTCATTCAGAAATCAATAGTCAGCCGGTGCACCTCAAGGGCAAAGGTCACATCTTACTGTCGATAGCAGATCTAGTCTCTTGCCGGTCTAAAACAACAAAAGCTTCCGACAAAATCATCACTAGGCTTGCTCCTTCCCCAGATTTCAAACTGCCGGAAATTCAAGAAGTGAAGACCAGAGGTAGCGGAAGCATGTGCATTTTGAGGTAATGCTGTCAGCATTACCAACCTGGCATAATATTCTGTGCGTTGTGACAGGTCCATAGATCATGTTTTGTTAATGTGATAAACGCCACTTATTCCGTGGTTATAGACGGCAGACAGGGTGTGCAGGGTGAGTCGCCATAATGGTGTTGACCTTGAATAACGACTTCAGTGATTTCAGTAGATCCTTGAAAGACGCTGCGCTAATCTAATCATTCGCTTTATAAATAGATTGATTTTAGCGATAGCTTCTGAGTTGCGAGACAGGGTAGTTTGTCAGGTAGGCAATCGACAGACGTGAAGTCCCCTGTGTCACGCCATGTACCAGCCCGCCGCAGTCATTGATCTTTGTCGCTTAGCTGCGCACGGTGGAGGCATGTTAATAATTGTGTAAACCTGTGCGTGGGATGCCATCATTTAACTGCCGTCACCACGCGCGACGTTTCTGTACTGGGTTCAGAGAAGAAACTGTTCAAAACTGTGTCATTAATTTGTTTGTTTATCTCCAGGTGCAGCAATCTGTGCCCTGTATTAATACGTCTATATGTAGCAAGATATGTTTCTGTTTCTAAAGGTTTTCTTCAATGTCATATTCGATATGCCTTCAGCACCGTAGGGACGGCTCAGGTAGTATGTCTTGATAATCGTTGCCGCGTGGATAATTGAGTTATACGGGCAAAGTTCGGATAGAGAGGTATCTACAGAAGTCGTCCTCCCACCACGTCGTCGGACCAAACGTATTCTGGTCGCGTACAGGTTATTAACTCTCGCGAGACCTCGTGTCCTTGTAGTGGCCTATATCGCGCACACAACACAGCTCTTTACTTAGATTAAATTGGAAACGTCGAGCTACAAAGGCGATATTTAGCAGCAAGCAGGGAAATCACTGAAGCAGGTGGAGAGGGAGCGTGTATAACTTGTAAGATCGGATTGTCCTATTCTCAAACACGCGTCAGCTCCATCTTGTCCGATTTTAAGAGGTTCATATTCCACAATGCGTATAGTAAAGACTGGCTCCCTTTTAATGAATATCTTTTAGCTAATCATTTTACATGTTGGTCAGGAGCCAGGTGCAACATGATGAGTTGAGAGTTGGATAACACGGCGTCAGTGACACAAACTGGAACTATATAGTTTTGTAATCGCCACGTATACCAGTCAATGTGTAATGTACAGTGGTTTAGCCGAAATCCGTTATTACCCATACGTCTGTGTAATCAGTCTTCCCCATAATGTAACACCTTTAAATCTTTAGTTATGTTCACTTACGTACTAGGTGGGTGGTGGGTCTATGCGCTGGTTGTAATGATGTTCACGTTGAAACAGTAGATCAGGACCCTGGCGTCCCACTAACACATTACAGATACTCCCACGTGTGTTAGGATCTAAGTAGCAGGGAAAATGTTTAGTGTCAATCATAGCCTAAAATATTCTAGACCCTCATTTATCTTCCTGGCGTCTGTATCCCCGAGAGTAGCCTGCTACTCATCTATGCATATTGACTATTTTCTGACTTGGCAGGCGAGTCATGATTTTTCTGTCTATAATAAAATTTAGCTGTCTGATCACGTTTGCTTTTAGTTAGCATACAGACAGTAAGGGATCGTTAATAAGACGTCATACACAGTAAGGAGATACACAAGGAGATACTAGTACTACAAGGAAAAGTGGGGAGGGGCATTGGCAGTAATTTACAGCATGTTGCGCACATGTCGTTATGACTTGACAAGCCAGGTCGGCCTGGTACAATCGCAACCTGCCCAAAGCGCCCTGTATGATAAACTGCTGCTCCATCTGTCACCACGCTCCTCTCAGGTTGGGGTTTCGGGGTCACACAATTGTTGTACACACCAGTGAACACGTCATCATCTGAACCATCTGACTCTGCCAGATGAAAAGGTCTGCCCGTATAACGTATTCTGACCCTGTCTCTCCAATCTCCATACAATGTATGTTTCAATATCGTACTAGCGGGGAGTGTACCATCTATCAGTCAGATCAGGACGGATCTATAGAGCTTGAGCAGATCCATTCTGTGCTGTACGATTAGAGTTGCATCAATAGACATAATCCTTACTTATTACATGTCACACTACACCATAGGTATGGGAAGGAAATGCATTGTTGTTTTTTTTCTGACGTTCCTCTTCCCTTTTATTTTTTCGCCACCGGTTTGTCAAATCAATTCAACTTGATAATTTTTTCAGCCAAATGACCTGAAATTTGGCATGGAGATAGAGTTGACAATACCTCAGACTTTTTTTCATTTTCATTTAAGAATTATCTCATTGCGATTTTTCGGCCATTTGCAAACCATTTTTTTTATTATTTTAGGCATTTAACGTCATTTGATGCATTGCAGATTAGGATAAGAGTCCTAATACTTCTATAGCGGGTCATTATGTGCTCATGTTGGAGTCAATACGTACTATTATCAGGTTTATAACCTCACATAGGTCCTAAACACACACTTCAGTCTCTGACAAACAATGGCTACACCAAAGTCACGTGATTTCAAACGCGAGCTGATAAATATGACTGTTTTGGTGTAAACAAATAATATGTTTACATTAGGACCGAAACCATTACTATATCAGGAACACAAACACGCTATCTTGTACTGGAGTCATGCTAATCGTTGCTTAATGGCTATCAAATGATAAGACGTTTTGATACCTTTCAAATTTAGTGTACTGTAGCCAAGGCAGGCCTTTGACAGTTTTTGTGACGAATCACCTCCACAGTTTTCTGATCGAGACTCCATCACACATCTTGTTTACAAGCTGACAGGTACACAAAGGGACCCGCTTTGATGAATGTAATCACATGGACTGACCCTGGTAGCCACAAAGGTACAGTGTAATTTCGCACCAGACAGAACTATATATTTATCATGGATGAGCTATGTTCTCATTTTCAAAAGCCCTTGTGAAGTTTTCCTAGTGATGCTGACTTCAATGCGTATTTTTCAGCTTGCAAGTTTTTTTAGCCTAGCTTGATGGCAATAAAGATACAGCCGCCCACCATACATGTGACATCCCCAATCCGTCCCAGTAGCCTCGTCTGTTAATACTTATAGTATTCCAGTCACGCCCATCTTGTATGTTAGTGTGTCGTGGATGGTCTCCTTGGCATATTTTTGGGAAAGACTAGTCTATATAACTCCACCAAAAGTTAGCCATTACAAGTGAGATATCATCGTCATTATCCGTCAGTCCACGGGGTATACTCTTGACTCTCTAGGAAACAGCCTGAAGCAACCTCTTCAAACCGCTTATTTGTTGTCCACTCAGCTATAACATGATGAATTCTTACAGCATGTCTCCTAATGAGTTTACGGACGCGATAGTTAAGGATCATGGCTTGAAGTATTTGAAGACTATCTATATACCCGGCGTACGTCGTATCTCCTTAGTGGTCAAACCGTCTTGCTTTCGCGCGATAAATGCGGGTGATAAGGATAAGATAAGGGGTACCCGCGCTGTTATTAGTTACCTGTTATAATCCATAATGCCATCTCATGTTGAGATTTCTTTCCTGATGGTTTCCATTCCCTTACACGCAGCAGTGGAGGCTTCATAACATGTGTGAAAGGGTACGTCACATCATCACTTTCTTTCTTTCTTTCTGTCACGTGACGTTCAACCTCAGCAGGGCATGCGTGATGACCTTTCACCGACCTGTGTCTGTCACGTGCATGACTAGAGATAATCACCTGGAAAAGCCATGTCCTCGCCATTAAAGTAGACCGACCAGCCTTGACGCCATGCACTGCCTTAGGCACATTTCCGCTGTTGATGACAGTAGTATTGAAAATGTTTTTACTTGCTTGTAACACTTGCGAACTTTCAACGTACTTTTGGGTGTTAATTTGTGAAATATCAAAGGCCGTCTTTTACGAGGAAGAACCATTAATGCCAACACGCATTTCTTTCTGATACATAATTCTGGGGAAAAACAGCCTTATTTTTCGGCCAAAAAGAATAAAGAAATTCAACGAGCACGGTAAATCTTTTCCATCATTTACATATTTCACATATTCAACCACATACAACATTTACTGTATCATGCGTCCACAAAGATTGAACAGATGATGAAGTGTGTTCCTTTGAACCATGTCCACAGATGGAAGCTGTGAAGAAGAAGCTGGCCGCGCTGCGACGGGAGGCCGAAGTCGCCACGGAGCGCTTTGAGGAAGCGGACAAAGCCAGGAAAGAGGCCGAAGAGCGGGCAGAGCAGGTAACATCTAAACACATCAGAGCGCCGTCGTCGGGCCATTTAAATGTATCCCGATGATAATTGAATACAGGTTGTAACAAGAATTAACATCAAACTTCAGAAGATTCGTGATTCTTTCCTTCGTGCAATCTGCCTGTCCAATGTCGACATCTTGTGTCAGCTCCTGTCATTTCCACTGCACCTACAGCCAAGGATCTCTACGTCTTTGAAATGGCAGTTTTGATTGTTCTGTGTCTACTTCAGGCTGAGAATGACATGGAGAGCATGAGGAGAAAGATGCAGCTGCTGGAGGCAGACTTGGATACTGCCGAGACAGGCCTGAAGGAGGCCAACACCAAGTCACAGGAACTAGAGTCGAGGTTTGACGAGGTAGAAAGGTGTGTGGAGTATCATTACTGGAATTTGCTATGTGGTCACATGCAGTTATAACATTTAATTAAAGATAACGTGATGAATCAACCTATGCTAATAATGTCAACTCTGTGAAAAACATTAACGCTCAAAAATGCTAACGTTAACGCTCAAAAATGCTAACGTTAACGTTGTTACTGATCTGTTGTTTTCATACCTGTGTTCATCAGTTATGTAGTTCGTGCTAAGGATGCAGAGAAGTATATCTAATTCACGGAGGAAAAGAGAAACCTCTGCTTTCTGTTAACATCCGTCTATTACCAGATATAAATCGCAACATCAACACACAGTCTTTGTTTTTATCAGGTCCAGACAAGCGCTCGAACACCGGAGCACCAGTGATGATTCCAAGGTGAGCCATTATTGGGCTATATATAGATGATACTAGTATGCTTTAATTGTGTAATTTTCCCATCCTCCTTCTTGATCTTCACTATACAGACAAGTTAAAAAGGGTTTTGAAGTATGCAATGTTTGACCGTGCATGCATGCATTATTTCAGTAAATTTGCCGTGACACAAATAAGATGCGTCAGAGTAGTACAGAACCCAGAAAGGCAATTTTATCTCCTTTGTTGTTACTACGCAGGTAGTGCAGATGGAATCTGACCTCAAGGAAGCAATTGAGTTAAAAGAAGAGATGGAGGCTAAGTATGAAGAGGTAAAACCTGTCATTTGTCATTTTCTGATCGCCTTGATTTTTATATTTCACTCAATATCACGGCCGTTCTTAAGCTTGTATGTTGTGTCATTTTGAATATGTTGCCAAAACTTTCCTCTTTCCCAGGTCTCTCGGAAACTTACCGTGGTGGAAGAACAATTGGATACCATGGAAGAAAAATACAAAACATCCCATGAGTGAGTAGGACGAGAGTTTGTAACATTTGCAGACTGTAGCCTTTAAACTCAAGATGAAAGATGTTTCATTTCTGTTGCTTTATTCTTGCCATAAGAGAAGCACGTTTGTATTAAGTGACATCTAAAAGTCCTTCCCTGCCACACGTGTATTCCCATGTGTATTCAAAGTCTTCTTTTCCTCGAAAATGACGAAACCTTCTTTCCGCAGGCGGGTTAAGTCTTTGGAAGAAGAGTTGCAGATAACAGAAGACCAGATCAAGTCCTTGGAGTCCAGCCAGAATAGGGTGAGCATTTTGTATACTTTGTGCAGTTCTTGTAAATCATGAAAGGCGGCGTTTAAAAGCCGTTCTCGAATCGCAATAGACAAATTTGCGTAGCCATGACGGTGATCATAAAAGCACCATGTTCATGAGAATTACTATACGGTCTGAAGTTCTGAACGCAAGAGTGTTGGGAAGCATACAAATGGTGCAATGATACTATGATGCTTCGTAATTTTCTTATTATGAATACTTCATAAGTTATAATTACACATGTAACTCGATACATCGAATATGTCTAAAAGGTATCGGTGTTTTGATCAGAGTTTTGTCTAGCTTTCCTTATGCTCAAACTGCTCATACTCATATCTTTCCATCATCTATTCTCTTCGCTGTGTCTTCTTGCTCTTCCATGGATATCTTTTCTTCTCGGTGAGTACACATAATGTTTTAATGCAAACCTTATTACGTCGACCGTTATGTCTGTTATCCAGTTTCCTCACAAACACTTTTGTTTCTTTTTTTTAGGGAGAGGATGAGGAAAACAGTCTGCAGAGCCGGTACAGAGAGCTGCAGGACACCTTGAGAGAGGTATTGCTATTCGACATGAAATAAATGATAATTTGTACGCGCTCAGAAACATGCTTCAGACAGAATGGAGTTCACTTTTATATAGATCTGTTGCACACCAGGTTTCATTGTTGTTGTTGTTGATGTCGCTGTTGTTGTTGTTGTTGTATTTACTATGTTCACGTTTTCCGAGTTCACCCTGGTTTGTTGTTTCCAGACTGAAACCCGTGCTGAGTCAGCCGAAAGGAAAATTCAGCTGTTGGAGAAACAAGTATCAGACTTAGAGGGTAACTATGTCACTCGTCCTGACACATTCTGTCTGTGGATTGTTATTGATAAGCACACGGCATCGTTATGGCGGAACGAGCACCAGCAAAGCGCAACATTTCACTGTTTTCCGTAGGTCTGTTTCTGTTTTGTTGACCCCTAAATACATTCTTAGATGTGCTACACAAGCTCACAAAATGTCCTCTCCCTCTTTTCCAGATCAATTGGAAGAATGCAAAGAAAAGTATCAAGGAGCAAAGGCAGATTTGGATGCAGCTCTGAACGAACTCAACGAAATGTAGCTATGAAATGACGGAAGATACTACGAATATTAGGTGGGTATTCAGGAGCATGTATTCAGTGCTTGTGCAATGAAATATTGCAAGTTGTAGCAAACTAACATACGTTGGTGCCGTTTTAAAAAGCATCCTTGATCTTGGTGTTTGCCAAGCGTTTTACAACCGCTACGCTGGGAAACGTGGCTATTGCTATTTGTCTTGTTCCGTGCGATCGTATGAACCAAAACAGATAAAACTCATATTCTCCCTCTTCTCCCCCTCTACAGATACTGGATGTACGAAGTGACCTCGGGGTTTTTGTTTCTTGGCAGGCAACTGAAAGTCTTCCAACATAAGTTCTTTTGTTACACCAGACCACTCAGACAGTATGGCAACTTTTAGCGGCTTTTTCATGCCCGTAGAACCTGTTTAGTCAGCAGATGACAAAAACTGATACTAAAAGTACATTTTCACATCTTGGTACGTAAAGGTCCTGTGAGATGTCGCCATATCGCTATACTTGTTGCATTAAGGTGGATAATCAAGAACGCTTCTTTTTCTAGACAAAATAGTCATCAAGCGTCCAACACATGATGCAGTTTGGTTCCTAAATCCTGTGCACCATGTCTTCAGTTCGGTTCAGTTGTCAGTATTATATTTCTGGCAAAGGATTGAAAGGCAATGGGACTTAACTTTGGACACAGCTCGTGTAGGATACACATTTCAAAACTGCAGACTCTCATCATAGTGTTAGATTAAGCACGTGATACGTACTAAGTATCTGTAGATTTACTAATGAATTAGAGGATTTTTGAGGGATTTCGGACACTGTTTTCCCGTAGGTTGCCTTCCGACATTCCTACAAAAGATGTCTTTTTGTAACAGTTGGTCACTCGATGCTCTATGTACTGGTACTAGGAATGCAGTTAAGTGGAATGCTTGCAGTGACAAACACGTGAAATGGTGTTTGGGAACAAGAATGCAAAGTTGAAGACTTTTAACTGCTTTTTACAGTGTAATTTTAAGCCATTTTAGCAATATTGTAAGCGAATCGCAATGCCACAACTAAAGACATTCATGGGGTAATAGTTCGCACTTGTCAATGTTAATCCCCGGGGAGGATTAGAATCAGACAACAAATATATACTATTAGATCGACCCAAAATCAAGACATATGGCAGGCTTACTTGACTGTAGGTACATATGATCAAACATTCATTGCAAATCGTACTGAATGTATGGGAGACTGATGCTCGGTTGCATCTGAAAAGGACTGTGCGAATTTGATAGAAGATCGGAGAACTAAGAGTGAAATAATTTGGCAGTGCTATATTTTTAAGTCTGAATCATCAAGGAGAACTCTTTGGATGAACATTGACAAGTGCTCGCAGGTTAATTTTGTCCGCATGTAAAGTGAATTATGACGTAGTACAGGATAGAAGGTGGTTGTAGATTTGTGGTAGTTTTGTACAATGATAGAGATCAATACGTTATCGGAAAGGTATTTGTGACGTAAATACTCCATCCGTTAAAGTTTTTTCGTAAGTTTGTCTGTACTTTTGTGCGTGGCGGTTTTAACTCAAGTTGGCAACATTTGTCAATAAATGTCATTAGTACTTCATACCAAGATGTCTCGTGTATATGTAATGTCCTCTCGTCACCTTAAGTTAAAATCACGAAGATGAAGTGCCTTTTAAGCACTGAAATCGATAAATATATTAGGTTGTAAAATCGTACAATGATTCAGTCACTGAATAATTCTCAACACAAAAAATACAAATAAGACTAAAATATAAAAAGCACATTGCCTGTTTTGCCATATAGCCTTCTATTTGACCTAATCAACCATAAATCAGTCATCGAGCATTCAAATAGACATTGCGGATATTTTTGTCCCAGTGTTGATGCAAGAACACACGCAAATCTTGCACAACTCCGCGAGACTGACCACTACCAAATATAACAAAGTTTTTATATTGTATGATACAAAATACACACGTTAAGCATTCAAAACCATTACAGGTTTTAACCGGTAAGGTATAAAAGAACACTTTATGGAGTTGTATAATGAGAAATGCCGTCGCCTACTCCTTGTACATCTTTGTTTCCTGCAGCATATTGACTTTTTGTAGTGCCAGAGGATCGACCTTATCTGCCGTCCAGACCTGGGCGGTGCTGGCACTGACCTTGTTCTTTTTCTTTTTTCTACAACAATAAGTCAGTCTCTTCAACAAGTACTCCACAAACTCCATGATAGTGATCACACTGGCACCCACAAACAGCCCGAGCTGACCACCGAGACCACCTGGAGAACAGAGGAAAATAAAAAATCATTTAGAAATGTTCCCACTGGCCCCAATAAAGCAACAGGTAGAAGGAAATTGGAGACAAGAAATAAAATGACATTTTCTGGGATCCGGACCTTTGACCTAACTTCCTGTCAGTGTCCCAATGTGCCTGGCATATGGAAAGCTATGGAAACACAAACAAACATACCAAAAACGAATGCAGTGAGCGATAACCTACTTAGCAGGTCGCCTGGGGTCATGGCCTTCTTCTGGGTTATCTGTTCGAAGTTCAGCTCTTCGTAGAATACGTCAATAGAAGCCCAGTTGCTCCTGGAAACAAAATCACACAAATGTCAATCACAGTAGATTCAGTTAATTTTCTTTTGTTAGCCAGTTAGTGACTTTTAGTCGGTTCGTTAGTTGGTAGGTTGATTCCTTGGTTGGTTCATTGTTAGTTAGTTAGTTAATTAATTAATTAATTATTTAGTTAGTCAGAAAGAATCGCTAACAATATCAAGTTCAGCTAGGTACACGTAAGAGTCCTCAAACAGCTATCTAACGCAAGACGATAGCTGTGCCTGCGGGCGACTCATTACAACCTGAAGTGTGATAGTAGACATGTAACGTCACGTACTGCATGTACTCCATGTCCACGTTATTCTCCTCCCCGAGGTACACCTCCACGATGTGGTTGGGCCAGCCGGCGTACGACACGAAGTAATCAAACGTCTGGATGCGGCAGGGCGTGGGGCAGTTGCACGCCAGGACACCGGTCGTGATCTGGTCTGATTTGTACACATGATAGAGGTAACAGTCAGAAAGATTCACCGTCATCACTGGTTCATAGGGTGTACAACCCCTCATAAATATTTGCATGACGTCTGCCAATGTTCATGTTAAAAATTCCTCATGAGAATGTCAGGTTTACCTTTGACACCGAGGACACAGTCCACGATCAGCTGCGGCTCACAGTAGGACAGATTTCCTGAAAAAAAAAGAACGATTAACTTCCAACTGTGTAACGTTATCAGCTTTATTAGTATGTACTAGCTTATAGGCATGGGGGAAAGAGGGACAGGTGACAAATAGAGATATTAGATAATAAACAGAAAGTCACAACATTAACAGTGTCTGTCTGTCTGTTCGTCCGTCCGTCCGTCTCTGTCTGTCTGTCTGTCTGTCTGTCTGTCTGTCTGTCTGTCTGTCTGTCTGTCTGTCTGTCTGTAGAGTAGATAGAAACGGAGAGCGGGGAGAGGAAGACAGAGAGAGGAACATGGAGCAACACGGCACGAAGAGAGGCACAGGAAGAGAGAGGAAACTCAGGAAAGACAGGGGAGAGAGTTTCCATTGAAAGGAGAACTGATCGAACCGACCTGGGAGCTCCAGTGCCGTACAGCCACACTCGCTCTCTACCCAGTGCGCCATACACTCCATCAGACAGCCTGTCAGGGTGTAGGTGTCGTAGTACTCCAGGTCCAGGTCCTCGCACAGGCCCCACGGCGGGACTTCATTCTGATACTGTTCGGACGATAAAGTAAACTACTGAATTTCTGCCCTTGTGTCTATCTTATACAGTTTAAATTGCCAGCACTCAGGCAAACCAGCTAGACGTAGATTAACTTTAACTCAGTAAATTGATTTTTTCATGCTTGAGTTTTAGAATAAACATCAGTATTCTCTTGTGCCCGACATAATATTCTCTTTAACATAGTATGTCTGAAAGCGCACTCTCCGATGATCTATCATCTGAACCACAGACTGATGTGCCAACATAGTAAGGCAAGAAAGTATTCAAATGGAAATATCGTGCACTTTGAAATGGCACCTGACGATCAATAAAATGCATCTACATACTCATATTGAGGCAACAATGACAACAGCGGATATGTTAAGGCACTAGGTTTACGTTCCCTGATAGTAATAAAGGATTTTTTCTGAGAACCGTCGGGCGCGTGGTCCAAAGCCGTTTTAATGCCTCCTACATCCATGTGTTCTTTGGGGGATTTGTGATACGGAGTGATGAGGTTTTGGGAGACTTACCGTAACCTGTGAAATGCCGATGTACGCGTGGCTGCCGGGCCCGATAGGGATTCCCTGGATGTCCATCTTGGCGGGCTCGCCCTGCGGGTGGATGTGGACCTTCACACCGACGTCTGACGACCCACCGGTGGCAGGGTTCTCCGTGTAGAAGGCCTGGCGAAAAGGTTTTGTGAAGACGCATTTACGTTAACTGTGACCGTAGAGAAATAGAATGACAAAATAGACTCGAACCATGAGGGTAAATGTTATAATATTACTTGTGTAACACCCCTAAACCCCATCAAAAGGTTCAGAATGCATAATGTGCTTTCCTCTGTCCACCGCTAGACGGCGTGTTTGTTCTATCATATCTAGAACTTTCAAGTGCGTTTAATTTGTGTCGCAGTTTCCGCGCGGTAAAGAATACGCTATCAAGTAGCCGGCTCTGTCCTGACCTCGTGCACGTCCAGGACCATGTGCAGACCGTTGCCCTGCCCGGGGATGATCTGCTGCAGCGGTGTGCCGGACGTTTTCTGGTTGAAGACGTAACAGTTCCCGTACTCACCGAACACGTGTGTGAAGTTCTGCGCGGGAAAGTCAGGAAGAACAAGCATTTTGTGGTGAATCATGAAGTAAATAAAAAATGGCTATATCGGTGTACTATACAAATTATTTTCAAGTTCATGTTGTAAAGATCATCAACACAAGAAATCGATATCGTGAAACCTGTAACGGTTGTTGTCAGTAGTATAGCATAGAATAGGTAAAACATTGCTTGGCTTTCTGAGGCAAACAATCACTCAACAATCATGAGGCCATCAGAAAAAAACTGCCTACCTTAAGCTTCTTCTTCTTTCTATTACCAATCAAACAATAGACAATAGAATACATTCAAAGGGATGTAGATATCTAGTCAGTATCAGAATAAATAGAATTGGCCACACTGCGCATGATTCTACCTGATCGAAGACTTTGGTTTTACAATAGCAGGTTCACAATGTACGAGTATTCTGGTAGAGAGCAGAAGAAGGTACATTACACACCTGCCAGGTGCACGTCTCTCCTCTCCAGGTGCATTCCTTCAGAGCGTACCTGTCCATCTGGAAGCCGGTGTACGCCGTGATCCCGGCCAGCGACATGGGGTAGTAGGTGGGCCCGGGGGTGGGAGACGTGCTGTTGTCGGTCTCACAGATCGCGTCGTTCCCGATCAGAGGACGGAGGTACTCCACGGCCCGCTGGTCCATGCACAACAAGTCTTTCTCAAACCTGTTTCCATACAAGTATACAGATGTCCACTGTGGTTATCAGCAAATTTATTATATAGATGGTCTTAAGGCCAGCTTAGCTTCTAAAAGAACAACTTCTAGTATTTGACATGAACTGAAAGGATAAAACCTCAGATAAACCATGACCGCCAAAAAATCAGACCATCAAGCAGGCAGCTCCACCCGGTGACCAATGTTATATTGCACCGTGAAGTTCTACACGCCTCACAGCACAAAGGAAAAATGTGAAATGTACAGCTGGAAACTCACTTGTTGAAGTTGCAGATGGTGACAGCAGGGAACTCCAGCTGATCGGTAAACTCTAGTTTGACGTCCGTGACCGTGCCCCAACTGAAGAAGTCGATAAACCTACAACAAATTATTTCGCCGCTTTATGCAAGGTCACATTTCCAAACCGGTGGCCCGACCGGACAGATTTCAGAAACGAAAGGCATAAATAAAAGACAACAAAACACAAAAAGGTTTTAAAAAATAATCATGTGCACTATTTGTGCATATTCGTGTATGAATTGTTTATTTCTGGTTCACGTAAACAGCCCGGCCGGGCCCCGGTTTGTAACTGTGACATTATCGCGTCCCATGTCAAAATACAAACCAACGAAAAAGGCGACGGAAGGTGACTACATTTTTTCTGTGTTTGGTTACAGTGCGACATCAAAATCTTGTCGCTTCTACCGTATTTTCTGCATTCTTATAGTTTTTATAGCTATCCATTCTTTAATCACTTTGAAATGAATATCATATATAAGTAAAAAGCATCTATACAAATTCATCTCCAGATTATCAATCATTTGATGGCTTTATCGATCGGTCGATTGATTGATTGATTGATTGATTGATTGATTGATTGATTGATTGATGAAAAGTTATGACAGATAACTCACGACATGGTGATGAGATAAGTGGCGATTCCCAGGCTGACCAGGAACAGAGCCAGCCACAGGAGACGAACCACTAAGTTGGGACCGTCAACAACCTACAACAACGAAAAAACATCCGAACATCAAGCCAAAAATTGTGTTGCTAGCCATGTGGCTGGCGACAGATGACCTAGGCTCGCTATACACGGAAACAAACGATGTAAACAAGACAAGACAATGTTATTGGGTGAATACTAAGGGCAAAATTAAAGGAACAAATCAGTCTTATTTGAAATGATTAACATTAGGTAAACGTTTATTTTGGTACACATTTCCCACCTAACATGACACGGGGAAACCGGCAAAGCTCTACGAGTATTATCATAATTTTGCTACTTGCATGCAAAAAAAAAAAAACAATTGTTGTGCCTTGCTGGACGGGTGTAGTCTTGTCTCACCTTTGCCGGGCCGTGTAGAGTAGTTCCCGAGGCCCACTCCCTCTCGGGGGACTGTTCGTCCTCTTCTTCCGCCATGTTGTCTTATTGTACGAAAATCTGTTCAGAAAAAAAGTCTTGATACTACAAAGCAGTGGAAATACAACATCGATCTATTTTTATTCTAAAAACATCACCGTCATTATCGTTAGACATCAGAAGTACCAAAGAATATGAAAGTTCCCAGTGATACGCGAGTTCGAAAAAGTTCTACCTTACAGTTAAGATGTGAGCTGTTGAGAGTAAAATATTGAAACATATGTTAACCCGATTTGATGCATACTGCACTTGGTACTAATCATTTCGTATGCCCATAATTTATGTTCAGAAATAGTCAGCATTTTGTTGTTCTTGGCAGCCCTCTGTGAATGTTACTCAGTACAAAAAAAAACTTGGATGTGATGTTAAGATACAATACAAAATCTGAGTTTTATCACCATGAGAATAAACTTACCACTTGATAGTTCTCCCACAACCAGTGGACACAAATCCAGAATATCTCGTCGTCCGGGACTCTCACTGTGGCCTTGGAAATGATACCCTGTCAAAGGGGGTCGAAAAAAGACCACTGTTTTCTATGGGTATTTGATCAGTTAAAAGAACTATGTTGATGTGAAAACGGGTCAGCGAATCTTACGGTATGTTGTGGCAGGTGTCTCCCGTCACTGTGGCTGGCTACAGGGGGATATCGTGCTTACGCTGTTGTCCTACAATACATTCTTACCTAATGTGTTTCCATGACCAGGCCATTGATAGGAAACAAACAAGATATGCTTGAGGTAAAAGGTAGGGATAATATTGACGGAAATAATGTTCCGCTCATCCTATGAAAACCCGACGAAAGACAGTTTTCAAAGCCGTTTCACAAAAACCTAGAAGGTATTTCTGACATCCTCTTTCCACTGGAGGTCGCGACTGCTGTGGGTACCAAACATTAAATATTTGACGGTCGCTCAACGAATTCCATTGATTATCTTTGTAGGTTTTGTATGTTTTCTTGCCTTTGCCTTTTAAATCATAAAATTACGTATATATTCCACCTGTAAAATAAGGACCACCACAAATTCAATTTTGGTCGCCTTAACGTAAAAGTGCACCACGTTTGTTACCAAAGATTGTAAACGATATGCCCTGATCAAATACAATGAAATATGATACAAAAGCCCATTTCGAGAACCTTCTCTTCGGCGGAGGGTTCCTTTTCCCAACTCGTGCGAACGATCCTGCGCAAACAAAAGTCGTCGCAGCTGAGTTGTCTGGTCACTTAAGTAAACGTGCGCTGTCTTTCCAGTGACTTGGATTGCAGTATTTGCAAGTCTATAATGCTCGCTGACAGGGTGATAGATTATGTGATCGCTCGGCTGGATTGAGATGTTACCTGTCGTCCATGGTAACAGAATGTAACATCAGCAAAATACGAACAATATAAACGGGATCACTGTTGGTGTAGTCATGATGTTGGCAGCGCCAACAGTGATAGATCGCGTGACGTCGTGTTGAGCCGCACAGGACACTTCCCATAACTAAAAGACATCCCAGGTACTACTAGGATGTTGTCTTTTCATCTGTCATGCCCATTGCACCATAATTCAGTGCATTTGAGAACATTGGCCGATTAGACCACTATACCAAAAACTACTAACGCCTTGACATTATTCGAGTTAACCTGGTGTAATGTTGATTGAACTGAATGAAGGCCAAAAGTGACCCAGAAAACCACAAACGACGAGGTTAACCCGATTGCGCTGTGTAAACATTTCCCGTGTGTACCTGTGGTCTTCTCACGGCTTTGTCCAGTTGACCTGCGTATTACCACTACCTGTGCATATCGCCATGCGAAGTCAAAACACGGCTGGTATCCCTGATACCTCTGAAAGGACACTGTGTCTCAACTAATAGTCCGTGATACTGCGCAATACCAACCCAGCGTTTTAGCAGCTAAAGGGCTGGTAGGGTGAAAGTCGCCCTTTCAATCCGTGCACTCATCGGAAGGACAGTTGTGTATGGGTCAACCTGCCAGCTAGCACCCATTATTCCTCGGCATATCCTTGTGACGACACCAGCGAATCAATCTGATATGCCCCTGCTGTATCACTGAGACTCAAAAACATCGGCGAACTTGAATCAGGGACACCGGGATTTTTTATTCCCCTGCGGAGTTTGGCGCAATGTCGAACAACACTGAGGAGAAACAAGAAAAGGAAGATTCTCCAGAGTACGCGTTTGCAACAGGAACGACACTCCATGGACTGAACAAGGTACGTGATGGCATTTGGTTGTTGATGTGTTATTAGCTGGTTCATCTTAACGACATGGCATACACTTTTTCGTCTTGAAATATCCACCACATCCCCCATTCCACTTCGGTACATTTCCCTCACAAATTGTACCTTAAAATGCAACTTATAGAGCTGAGATCACGTCTGGATAGTCTGCCGCTTGCCATCGTCATTCTGTGATCAGTTCAAGGAATCGCCTCACGGAAGGGCGCTAAGTACCTGAGCATCCATTGTCTGTGTCTTTCGTACAGACTGTTTCATTTGTAACCTTTTATTGTCGTAAGATGTTGTACAGTGAAATGACATTTACAACATGTACAAATAAATTGACTGTCCGAAGGGACATTTAGTTTGTTTGTTTGTTTGTTTGTTTGTTTGTTTGTTGTGCATTTCGCTATTACGGCCACACTGCCATCTTTCTGTTGACTGTCTACTGTCCCGAAGTTAGCTTGCAAGTGTAAAAGAATAACACGACTAAACGCTGGCTTACACTAGAATTGTTGGTGGCTTGTCGTTTACTGCTCCACAGTCCAGTGTTTGTTGAGAGTTGCCGCTTGACAGATGTCGACTAACTGATCACCTCTCACCAGATCGCAGACGCTCCAAACTGGGGGGCCCGTCTGATATGGACCTGCATTTTCCTCGGCTGCTTTGGATACGCTACCTATCTCATCACAGAAACGTGAGTAACATATTAGGGACATTGATAGAAATGTATTCTACTCTCCGGTATCACCTTTGTTGGGAATAAAAGAAATACCATGAGTGATGGAATAGTCTGGACAGTAAATGTGGTTGGTTGTCGCATGGAACGTACCCACTTGTCTACAACTCTGACTAGGACTGTTAACGTTATGCTGTCAAGTTCAATGTATACTAGGTTAGTGCTACGTCACACTCAACATCTAAGTTTGTTAGAACCTAGTAGGGGTAATTGGGGGGCTGACAATCTATACTTAGGGTGGTGTTCTTGGCGTGTTCTCTCCCCTCCTAGGATCCTGTCGTATCTGAGCTTCGACACTATCACAGACGTGTCGCTTAAGTTCGAGGAATCTCTGGACTTCCCAGCCGTCACCTTCTGTAACTTCAACAAGTAAGTCTACATTGACTGCTTCTTAAGTATTACCATACAAACAGAATTATAAGAATTATATCGATAATACACCTGTTTAATACTTGGGAACACGTGGTTATATTTGATAGGATAAGTGATTGCCTCTGACTTATGTATTTTTATTTCTTTAACAATAGGTATTCACTTAACAAAGTTGTCACCGATCCACGAATCAATGTCTACCTGGAGCCGCTATATGCATTCCCGAAAAGGTATAGCTTTGTTGGACCGGGGATGTCTTTAGAAGACGGCCCCACACCGACCCCGACCCCCACTCCCTTCGTCGACAACTTGGCCAGCATCACTACGTTCGCAAGCTTCCAACTGGAGGACGCGTTGATCAAGTGTACATGGAGGGGAGAACCTTGCGACGTTTCGGTAAGAACAATATTTATGTTCTTAATTAAACTAATCATCACGCTTTTGCAAGGTACAGAAACTAGAGTACTGGTTAGCGATCGGATAGCTAGCTGATTGCCAGACTGTTGCCTAGGGCCAGAATACAGGTTAGCTCCTCGGTTCCAGGGTCAACATGTCCCCAAGGAAATTTACACGTGATCTGCATGTCTCTTTCACGGTATAAGGTCAGTATCATTTCTCTAATTGCTCCTCATAATTCAAAATGGAACGATTACTTGTTGCCATCTTTTCAGAACTTCACCCACTCCCTGTCCCAGTTCGGCAACTGTTACGTCTTCAATGGCGACATCGGGACGGAATCCGTCAAACAGACCATCTCCGGGTCAGGCAACGGGCTTCACCTTATCCTCAATGTGCTGGCTGTAAGTCAGAAAGATTTTTTTATTAAAATATATTCTTTGAGCGCTTATTTGTTGGAAAATGTAGTAGATATACAATAGCAGTCCTGTCAAAAGGATACTTTGAATTAAACCGACCGCCACTTCCTTCACAATATTTACAGGACGAGTATCATTTCTTGTATAATATTCCTAGGACCAATACTCAGAAGATCCAACTCAAGGCGGGTCGTCCGACGTGGGGTTAAAAGTTCATGTTCATCCCCGAGGGGAGCCCGCCAAGATGGACACACAGGGCATCGCCATCGGGCCGGGAACACATGCCTATGTGGGGATATCGAAGATCTCGGTAAGATGGAGCACTTGTAATGTAGGGAGGGGGGGGGGGATTTCAGGATAGATGAGAACATGAGAGAATTGTTCACCGTTTGCAGCTGGCGGCATATCGGTATGTCAACCGAGCTATTCGCTTATGTGAGACGAGCATACCAGGAAAGTACAATCATAAGAACACAGTGACACGATGAAGCCTTGTTGTCGTAGACGGTAACTTTGTGATTGTCCTTGATGCATTGTTTTCTGTCGTCAGTATAAAAATGAGATTCCTCCGTGGGGAAACTGTGAAGAGAAGGAACTGGAGCATTACGACACCTACACCCTGACGGGCTGTCTGCTGGAGTGTAGGGCGCACTGGGTGGAGACCATGTGTAACTGTACCGCCATGGAACTGCCAGGTTAGTTGGAGTTCTTTGTCAAGGCAGATGGATGTTGGGAACGAGACTATGTTATCTCCCTCCCCTCTGTGACCCGGATGTTCCTCTGACTTGGCCGGCAGGTGTTTCTCCGCACCCTTCTTCATATCCGCACGAATAAATGACGAGGTGAAATTCGAATGACCCTTTCTTTGCATGCAATAAACTAACCCATACACATAAGTTATCAGTACGTGTGATTCTAATTGTCTTTTCATAAATCATTTTACCGACTTGTCTCCTAGGAAACCTGGACATCTGTGAACCTCAGACAGTCGTGGATTGTGTGACGTCCGTCTACAGTAAGTATCTTTTTTGCGACTTTTCCCAATAAGCCTTAATCTATGTTTCAAAGGAACCTTATAGTGTTGAGAATTGCCTACTACAAGTCTCGTGTTGAAAATGGACATTGATTTCGATATTGTCCTATTCTTGTTCGACAAAAACCGACCTCACACAGCAGGAAAATAGCTCGCTGGACTTTTTCGGTTGGTGCTGGAGCACGGCTGGTGTCCTCTCTCACTGCATAACTGATAGGGATCGACCGATGCTCGCAGGTCATCAGTCGATGTGAGAAGATAGATTTGCAGGCAAAAACTACGCTTCACCATGTAGTCTCCGGCGATGTGGTGTGTGTGATTTGTCTGAGCCATAACAATGTCCGCCGCAAAACAGAACACCACGCACAGCGAATATCACCAGTACACCAACAGGTCACCAATATTCTTTCCTCATTGCTATCTAGATCTCACATGTTCTACTTACAAAATTTGTTTTCAGATCTGGTTATTCGGGGCCGCCTGTCGTGCCAGTGCCCGACCCCGTGTGAGCTGGGCATATACGGCAAATCTGTGTCCTACGCTGGCTGGCCCAACCCTGGAGCTGCAGCCAGCCCGTCCATAGGAACGTACAGGACTAATTCCGCGTACATGGAGTAAGTCTTGATATTTTTCTGACCTGAACATTAAACCCTGAAATAGACCCAAGATACCTTTTCTGAATAAGAATATGGTGCTTTGCAAGTTTGCTCTAAATGCAATACTTTGTTGTTACAGGCGAAACTACTGTGTGTTCGACGTCTTTTACAAGGCGCTGAACAGCAAGACGATTATCCAGAAAAGGGCTATGACGGAGGAAGACCTGCTCAGTAAGTAACGTGCCCTCCATCTTGCCACCACAATACCACATTGTACCGTAACCCTTCAGCACTTCTCTGTATCACGTATGGACAATAATACTATGAATACTTCATGTACATATACAAGAATGGTTGCTTGGTTCCGTTCTTCAGGTGCGATCGGCGGTTCCCTGGGCCTGTTCATCGGCGCCAGTATCATCACTGTGGCGGAGATAGGGGAATATCTCATCACCAGACCTTTTAAGTGTCTCCGTAAGAAAACCAGGATGGACTGAAAATCATCGATGACAAACAGTAAAGAGGCTAGAAACGGAAAGACAACGCAGTAAGAAAAGTCGCCCAGGAGCTTGACGTCATCTGCATTATTAGTTTGTAAACTGGACAAAACAAATATGTTCAGACAAAAGGATGGTGTGGTCATTAGTAACTTAATATCATGTCTTGGCCTTGTGTGGTCTACGCATATTGTAGATAGGACTGTGCATAAGGTTTCTCAAATATAATCTCGATAAGTGATGGGCGGATGTTTTGTTTGTTTGTTTGTTTGTTTGTTTGTTTGTTTGTTTGTTTCAATAATAAAACAAAAAACACTATGTGTTATTTCAAGAGTGTATGAAACTTCTTCAACATTGCTAATTCTGTTTTTGTGTAAATGAAATATCGCTTTTGGGTATTTATGAACTAATATAAAATCTTGGTTGGTATTCAAAAGCACACATCTGAAGTTTGGTTATTTTGGTTAGAGATTTTAAAAAGTCATAAAATTTCTCTATTTCTGACAATGCTTTACGAGTACTAAACAGACGATGACGACTCAGTAGTCCATCTGCCAGATACTATGCTAGATCAAAGGAACGTCTCCAAGGCTGGTCAAATATCCCGTATTCAGTACGTGCACGCTTTGGAAAGGTAGTTGTGCATCAGTAGACCCCCAGTCTGGCACCCATTTTTCCTCATTTCCTTGTGACGACACCCGCGCATTGATCTTAGGTGTCACTGCTGTGGGACTGAAACTCGATGCTGAATGAGTTGGCGATGTTTATGTTAATGTTTATGATAACAGGTCAGTATCCAGCCGGACTATTTGTAGACTAAACTAAACCATTCTATCCTGCCCGGTCAAATATCACGTGTTCAATATGTGCATTCTTCGGAAAGGCAGCAATGTATAGGTTACCCCCTGCCGCCACCCTTGTTGGGAAATCGGTCTTTCTTTGTGTATTCTTCAACTTAGGACACAAACATACGCGTTTGCTGGGTAATATCTTGCAATCAAAACCTTAAAGACTTTAACCAATGGAATATAAGTTCTTACTTTCTATGTAGATTGGAGTCATCTGTGTGTGGGTTATTTCACCACCAGCCTGGCACCTATTATTGTTGAGAAATCGGTATTCTTTCGTGTCCTTTGGTGTTTGTATAGATGCAACACCCACATCCCAGTGTTACCCATGTGTCAATGAGACTAAAAAGGGCATCGACAAAGACTCATTAAGGGCATTAAACTTATTACTTTCCACTTTTTGAGTAAATTCTGAGTTGATTACTCAAGTTTGAGTAATTTCGATTTATAATAATGAGCACAAACCTGACGACTTTATAATTGGTACAAGATAGGTTGACAGATCGGCATGAGTGTTGTTGTTGTTGCTGTACAGTCTGTGCGGTCGATGAATGTGTGTGCCAAGAATATACCCTTGACGGGATACGCCAATCAGGGACAGTACGCTTGTCAAGCCCAACATAACATTAATTGGAACTCCCATGCACCAATTAACATCTGGATTTCGACGCATTACTTTAAAACAACATGACGTCCTGACATGGAATCGACATTTGACGGTTCTTTACCGCGATTCGGCCTACTTTGACTAGGACACCATGTTTCTCAAGTGTAAAGTTTTCTAACTTTTCAGACGTCGACATCACCTTCCGCTGTAAGACGTAGGTTAACGTTTAAACTAAGGAGTTTATATTAGTTTTATATTGTTATAAGAAGCGTACGGGACTCATTTGTCTGAATCTATTCGGGAAAACTGGGTCAGGCGTTGAGCTGGTGGGAGCCATGTCCGCAAGTAAAGCAGAAGACGAAGAAAAAGAAGAAAATTCTCCCGAGTACGAATTTGCGACGGGAACGACGCTCCATGGTCTAAACAAGGTACGTGACGACATGTGGTTGTTAAAGTACTATCCGCACTACCATGAACGTTTCACGTATAAACTCCTATTTTCAAATGGTTTCCACTGAGGGAGGTGAATCACGTCATTGTATTGATGTATATGGTAATAGTAATGAAAGTTGCACCTAGGAAATTCCAGGATTAAAACTAGAAAGGCCAATATTTGCTTTGGAGCAAATACAGCGATGGGTTCACCACATTTTACGACATGGCAGGGAAAGAATGAGAAACACAAGGGAAAACAATGATTTACATTGATATAACTATAATATGAAGTAACATACAACTAAAACAACAGTTGGATAGCTATTCCCTACTTTATTGGTTAGGATTTTTAATTGCATAATGCAAACTGTTGATTTTCAAAATAAAAAAAAAAACGTTCATGCCCCGCATTCCAATGCTGGAGCAGAAAAGCTTGAAATACCTACCAAAACACTTGAATAAAGACATACTGTCAGTATGGAAATGCTCTGTGCAGGTGTTATTAACAATCACATAAACTATGAAGCCATACATTGAATAAGCTATACATATAATATGATTATCATAACCTTTATTTTTAAAATCATGCCAGTGAGCTAATTGCATGTACAGAGTGAAAGAAAGTAAAGTAAAGCAGTAGAATTTCTGTACTAGCTATGATAGTACTTCATATGATTCGTCCTCATCGTCATCATTCAATGTGGTCTATCTCTTGCTACTAGTGACTGGTAATACCTCTGTAGATTCTTCACACTGGCAGAGTACCGTACTCCTTCTCTCTTGTCAGATCAATACTTTTGTGACAACATCAAAGTGATTTTAGTTTGTATGTTGGAAAAATACAAAAGACTAACATTCTAAGTTATTGACATTCTTGAGTAAGAACAATCAGTTTTTGAATGTTAAAAGCAAAACAACGAAAATAAAAAAAATGTTGAAATTGTTAAAATGCAGAATTGTTAAAATCGTTAAAACTGATAAAATTGTTAAAAATGATAAAATTGTTAAAAATGTTAAATTGCTAAAAATATTTATGTCCGATGCACTGGGGTTCGAACTTGCAATGCCTGGGATTGCCGCCTTGCGCGTTTCCAACCGAGCTAACTCGGTGCGATACACATCACTCACTGCATTGTATGTCATAAAAAGTAAACAGCATGGCGGTATCGATCGCTTCAAGGCACCAAGACTTTCAACTATTAACTACGGGGTTTCCTTCTTTATCAGGTTTGCTTTTGAACCACCTTGATGTTACTTAACTATCAACCCGGCTAGCAGAAGCCGCCGGCTCCTTTAATATTACAGCCGCTCCCTGTCCAATCTTCGAAAACTGTCGGGCATGCAAGCCCTGGACGCTCGCCAGGAAGCCGTCTCGAGATGTTCTCAGCAACAACAAACGAACGCCTGTACACTCTACAATTTTGGTGATTCTTCGGAGATCGATAACAGAACCTAGATAATACTAGTTGGTAAAGATTGCGGAAAATTGTTGATACCGTGGCGCGCGCGCCGACGATACACATTACGTACCGCGTAACTTTTTTGTTTACACGCCGGGCGCAGGTCATTGACCTCCAACTTGCGTTGTTCCAACAGAGAAGAGCAAAATGTCTGGCTCCCGCAGAACGTACCGCACTCTCCCGCTGGACGTACCGCACTCTCCCGCAGAACGTATCGCACTATCCCGGAGGACGTCACGCACTCTCCCGAGGGAAGTCCCGCACAGCGTCCTGCACTCTCCCGCAGAACGTCCCTCGAAAATCGATGCGTATTTCGTGGCCTGTGCTGTACCTACCAAAACACTTGAGTTCATACTGTCAAAATGGAATGGCTTTGAACAGGTGTTAATTGAGTTAATCCAATCAAATCCAACAGCCAATCAGCAAGAAGAATAGATTGGTCTGCGTCAGGTTCATGCTTGCATGCCCATATATGGGCATACCGCCGAATTCCTTTCTTATTACGTCACGCGCGTACGCCCCCACAGTACTTTCCTATGGGGACCGCTAAAAAAGCAAATAAAACGATTGTAAAAGCTTGTATCACAA